CTCTCCGCCTCCTTGTCTGGGAAACAGGCTTTGCTGCAGCTTTCCCAGGCTGATTGGGCTACAGAGGAAAGCACAGCAGGTGTCCCGTGACCATGTTTTTGATGTTTTGTCTTTGGTTATTTTTTGTTTGTTTGTTTTTCATACAGGGTCTCACTGTAGCTCAGGCTGCCTCAAACTTGCAGTGATCCCCCTGCAAGTCACCCGAGTGCTGGGATCACAGTGCTGTGCCCTGTGCCAGGCTGTTTGCTCCTGTTGCTTGCGCAGGCAACCAGCGTAGGCATTAGGACGGACTCTAGCATGCCGGGAAGGTGGCTGGAAAGAGGGCCGTGATGCTGATAAGAAGGAAAAGTTGGTCATTTCCTTCTCACGTTGAAAGTCTAGCAGTTCATACAGACTTGCACAGCTATTAGCTGTTACAAACTTAGTTTTATTGATGCTCTGATCTTTGTGCCTTTCTTTTAGTATGATTAACACTTCAGTATAAAATGTGTATATGGAGATGATCAGTATCAGTAATAGTTGTAGAATTTCTCTTCTTTGTACACTAGAGGGCACTAGATCTCTGTCGGGGGACCCTGAACCTGCAGCCTGCTCCTGGGTTCTGAGGGTGGGAAGAAGGGCCGGCAGGGTTGCACTGTGGGTGCCCACAGTTGCCCAGTGCCAAGGCGGGTGAGCCAGGTCCTTCTCACAGACTCCTGTCTTGTTGCCTGGTTCCTTGCCCTCCTGGATGCATAGGATGGCATGCCTGCAGTGTCCCGGCCAGCCTGGATGGACCAGCGTGGGATGGCACCCACAGCGGGCTTCCACACGGGGGCAGACGGTGGTTCTGCCTGCCACAGACAGGGTGCAGTGGGGCTTGTGACGTTTCTTATTGTTTACTCACGGCCTGCAGTGATTTTCCATGTTGTGAAGGTTATGCAGTGTGCCAACACTTACAGGAGAGCGTGGATAGCTCGCTGCATATGCCATGCCAGTGTCGTCTCATTCCGTCCTGGGCACATTGCGTGGTGGAGATGGACGTAGTGGAGGCGATCCGTGTGCGGGGAGGTCCGGCCCCTCCCAGGGTGCAGCTCTCCGCGTTGGGGCTTTATTTCTCCGCAGCAGCTCAGCTCTGCATTTACTTCAGGCTCTGCGCTGGGCACTGCCCCTGGAGTCCGCCAGGGCCACACGAGGCAGCAGACTCTCCAGTGCCAGGCACGCGGGCTTCATTTTATTTGCTTGCAGCTGTGACTGTTAGAAATATGGAGAAAAGGGGACAGTTAAGATGGGAACAGCAGAGACCTTAGTTCCTTCCCGGGGATGCGGATGAGGTTCAGGGCTGAACTCGCTTCCCACCGTAAGAACGCGCTGGTGAGCAGGCCAGCCCTGCGCCAGCCTTTCCCACTGGTTCCCGGGAAGCTGGGAACCGAGTTTGAAGCTCTGGGTTCTTCCCCTCAGCTGGGGTGCAGAAACCAGTCTCATTACAAAGGGGGCCTGAAACCTGGAACTTCTGGTTCAGAATAACTTAAACAATCTTCATTTCAGTTTAATGAGCTTCCGCCACCTCCTTTGTGCTGTGACTGTTGCAGTCGCCCTCTTCAGGGGGTGTTTTTTGTCACTAGCCTCCTCCAGGTTTTCCCAGTGGCCAGAGCTGGGCGTGGCCCAGAGACGCAGTGGGCAGAGGGCAGAGGCGGAGCCTAAGCCAGGTAGAACAGGAAATTCTGGGCAACAGTTTTGGGTGACGCCCTGACCACCTGCGAGCCACGGGTCTCTAGCTTCCCGACTTAAGCTGAATGCAGCCATTTGATGGTGGTGACTGGCTCCGAGGTGTCCTCTGGGGGCTGCGGCGACGAGGGACCCTGCTAAGGTCCCCTGGTCCTGGAGCAGTTCAGCTGGTTACCCTGGGCCCAAGTGACAGACCATTACTGCAGCAGCAGCAGCAGCCCTGGGCCCCGCGGCTCGGGCCAGGGTCTCATTCCTGCGCGCCTGCGGGGCGGCTGGGGAGCACTTTGTGTGCCTGCTCTGATTGCGGCTGTGCGTTTACGGTTATTGCTGGCTTCTCCTGAGCGGCTGCCCGTGGAGGCGACAGCGGGCTGAGCGTGGCAGTCGTGTGAGAAGGCCTGCCAGAGAACACCAGGCCCACTTGGTTTTATGTGGCTGCAGCTGTGACTGTTACATACATGGGGTGTTTAAAATGAGAGGCTGGGAACAGGAAGAAGTGCATTTCTTTTCTGAGAAGGTGAATGGCGGACGGTTTGCTGCGCCTTCCCGCCCCTCTCATTTTACTGATAGATGCACATATGTTTTACAATATTGATAATTCATCTTCTTGGTGGGGCCAAGCGTCTGTCTTGTGTTGCCAGCTTGCTCAGGCTGGGCTTGAACTTGTGATCCTTCGCCCTCAGCCTCCCATAGTGCTAGGATTACAGGCGTCACTGTGCCTAGCTCCATCTTGGTTTTTAAGATTCCAGCCCCCTTGGGCCCAGGTGGGAATTGAAAGTGTGCTGGTTTATCCAGCAGCTGCATTGTTTTAATTCCGACCCACAGTCCAGGAGTTCTGTGAAACGTGAGGTGTTTGCATGATCACACGATCGTTTTGGACTGTGTCAACCTCCCCCCGCTTTAAGTAAACCTTTAATGGTGGCTTCCGCAGGATCACTGGGAATTCCAGCACCTGTGTGTGATGACATGCGAGCGATGCTATTTTAACCTAGTAAGCACTCTTTGCGCAGGGAGGAAACCCAGATACTAAAGGTTGAGTGCCATCTGTAGAGTGAAAGCGTCAGTGAACAGCAGCAGGGTTTGGTCCGGGCCAGTGTGCACCCCAGCTTTTATGTGCGGGCCGTGTCTTCATGTGCTCCGGGCACAGTGCTGCTTTGCGTGAGCTGCAGGGCAAGCTGGCCGTCACACGGAGCAGGGCACCTGAGAGGGAAGGCGGCTCTCCACGGTTCCGTCAGTGTTCGGTGGCTGTGGGCCCCTCCCTGCCCCAGGCCAGCGCCTGCCTGCCACCCTGGTCCAGAAGTACCCCCCATGGTCAGCTGCAAGCCGCAAGAGGAAGGGCCGAGGCGCCCACGGGATCAGCCTGAGCCACAGACGCACGTGCCGTGTAACCCCGGTATTCTCCGACTGCATTATGCCTATACGACTCTTCTGGGGCGATTTGTCTTCACAACGAAACAGGTGCTGTGAGCCGTAATGATTTTTGCCACCACCTTTCCTCATCCTTTGGCCAAACAGAATAAATGTTCAGTGCCTTTCATCTTTCTCTATGAAGCGGAAGGTGCTGGGCTGCGATCATTTCTGTGGTGGCTTCTGTGGTTTCCTAGGTGCTGGGTTCTGCGGCGAAAGGATGCCCGTCTATTTTAAGAGGGAGCGAGGGCGCCAGGACGCGAAGGTGAAACCTTGTCGATGCAGAGTGATGTGGTGGGAAGTTTAGCAGCCACAAAGATTTCCTGGCTACGTCTAAGGAAATAGCTATCACTGCCAGGGAAATTCTACCATGTGATACTCTGCTGGAGAATGCTTAGTGGTCTTCCTGTGTCAAACGTGCAAGACCAGGGTCTGCTAGGGGTTCTGTTTCTCTTCCCATGAAATCTCTGTAGGTGGCTGAGACAGCTTTCATGATCTGTGTATAACCACTGTTGTGCACCATTGTGCACCTAAATGGCAAATGATGTGAAACTCCAAAGGAAAGCAGACTATTATGGCCACCTGGAGATACTTCATTGCAATAAATAGGACACTTTTTAAGGAAAAAGATACTAATAAAAGGCAAAGCTTGCCTCGAGAAGTGAAGCACAGAAAGGACGAAGTTTTGTATAGAAAGAGTGTCACTTGCTGAACCTTAGGGTGGCATGGCCCAACTCCAGCAAGCCCTCTCTTTTGTGACAGCTGGAATTTGACAGAGGAAGGGCCACCAGCAGCCCCTGGGGTGGGCTTACTTCCCACTCTGGCTTTGGCCTGGGCGCCGGCTTGGTGACGGGCCGGGAGGAGATGCTGTGCCCCTCACGGGCGGGCGGTGTGTGTGGCTCGCCCTGGCTTCTCCCGCGCCCTCCTGAGACACTGTGCAGTACTCGTGCGCGGTCAGTGGCAGTGCACACCTCTCGTGTGAGATGCTGATGTCTTTCACTTCCTGAGAGCTTTCCAGTGGAACTTTCGTTCCACAGCCACTGTCCTGTGATACCCAGAGCATCATTGCGTGTGTGCTGAGACAGGCCTCCCTTTACCTTGAAGGTGCATAGGATCGGGGGCGAGGAGGTATTTTCCTTCTCTTCCTCAGAGCACAGGGTCCGCGATGGTTGTTACAGGAGTGTGAAATCAGTCCCGTTCGGTGGTTTCACCTTGGCGTGTTGTTAGCCTGAGGACTTTGAATTGAGTGTACCGTTTCCGCTGAACATGCGTGATGTCGTGTTCCTGAAGCGTGCATGGTGATCTTATTTTAAGTCTAAAACCATATTAGTAACTCATGACTTCTGGTTTAGTTAACAAACATATTTTTGAGTGATTTAACGATCACTTCTTTCATATTGCTGGTGTCTCCACCAGTTACCCACTTGGTAAAGGAGTCTGGCCCAGTGATTTTGACCAGGCTTTGCTGTATGTTTCAAGCTAATGACTCCTACCCTTAGCCCCGAAGTCGTGATGGTAAACACACGCCTCCTGTTATCCTTTTAGAGGTCAGAAGTTACACTGAAACTTTGTGACCCTCTGGAGCTAAGGTCGTGCTAGCTCGGGAGCTCACAGCAGGTTTCCCCTGGGTGTGCGGATGGAAGGGGGCAGGCCACTGAGGCTGCAGTGACGCCTTTAGGGACATTTCTAGGCAGCATCATAATTGAGACAAGAACAAACTCAAGAAGGCAGGAAAGAACATGGTTTTCCCATTTGAATCCCGGGTCTGTGTGGTGGTGGCAGAGACCCAAAGCCTGTTCTAGCTGCCTGCTTCTTCCGGTGCATGATGTGGAACTGTTTTAAGCTGGCTTGTAACCAAAACAATGGAAATAAGATTTCTATTTCTACTGCAGGAGGTGGAATAAACTTAGATTGCGGGACAAAGAGGAACGTCTGAAGCTTGAAGATGACTCAGAAGAGAGTGATGCAGAATTTGACGAAGGCTTTAAAGTACCAGGTTTTCTGTTCAGAAAGCTCTTTAAGTAGGTACCATGTGTTCTGTCCTCCAAGCCTGTCATTGAGCCATTGTGTACAAATTAATATTTTAGGAATTACACAGTGGTTACCTATGGGCCCTTAAGGTACTCGCGGCTATTTATTGCTAGTAGAGACACTATCAAATGAAGTTTCAGCCACATGCTGTTCATTAAAATTAGATGATAATAAATTGACTACAGTGAGCATTGGGTATGTTTGTACACTGATGAATCTGTATGGACCTGTCTCAGCAGACTAGAGGCAATGCTTTCAAAAGCCTCTCCATTAAAATATATTTTTTTGTTTTTAATAATTTGAAGGTATCAAAAATCTAATTTCTTCTTTCAGATTAATAAGAGTTGTATAATAAAATCAGTACCAAGAGTTGTATATTATAATCAAACCTCAGGGAAGTGTTTTATTTTGCATCTTTATGTAGAAATACAAAATTGTTGAGATTATTTTGTGCATGCCTTATATTACACCTCCGGGTATAATAGTGGTGAGCTGACCAAATGTGCATCTAAATATTTTACACAGATGTCATTCTAAAAGATTTTTTAAAATACAGATGTCCTTCTAATGTTAGAAGAGAGGACACAGACAACATCTCGAGGACTCCTGTGACCCCTCGTTGCTATGTGATGCTGACTTGAGTTCTGTGTGTAACGTAGCCAAGGGCTGCAGGTGACCACGCTGTGTGGTTGATGCAGGCTCAGGGTCTGTGAGGGCCTGGCCAGTGCCCGTGGTGACAGTAAACACCGAGGAACAGTTCGGGCTCCTCACTTCCGGGATTTGCTTAACAGGATACTTTGGGGAGGCTTCTTAGAAGCATGTAGGAAATTAAACCATTACAATAGCTTCTTCCTGTGTGTCTCCTATCAGCGGTTCATTGATAGTTAGGAATAGGTTACAAACTTCGTTAGATAATTCAAGTTTAATGTCCTTTATAGATTCAGCCGTCAGCCTGCCTAAACTTGTAGGTGATGTGCATTTAAAAACAGCATGCTGCTATATTTCCTGCGGAAGAACTTTTACATGCATAAAATACATTCGCGCGCGTGCACACACACGCATGCTGGTGTATTGTGGTGCTCGCTGTAGAAGTGAGACCTCATGTGTGCTAGGCAAGCCCTCTACCCTGAGGGTACCCCGAGCTGTACCCCCAGTGCTGTGCCACACTTTTCCTGTGTGTCTGTCCTGGGAAGGCTGGGGAAGGGAAAGTAGTTATTTTGTCCCATTAAACTCACAGCAAAGCTGAACGGGAGCAGTGTGAAGCAGCTGGGCTGGGGACCCTCGCTGGGCGGAGGAGCTCGGTGTAGAAGGTAAAATCGGAACCTGGAGTGATTTCTGCGGATAATCACTTCCTAGCCGGAGAGGTGGCTGCTTTGTTTATTGCTTCTCCCAAAAGAAAATTAACTGTGGAAAGGTAAATAAAGACAACATTTATTGGCAACTCTTTTCATTTTCTCTAAAGTGATTGCATATTACACAACAGGCCAAACAGTATCAGTCTTGTACTAGCAAAAGGAAGGAAACCTGAAATTACAAATTTAATTGATTTAACTGCATACTTCTGCATATATAGGGCCTGGGCACATATGCTCAGGAGTCAGACTGAATGTGCAGTTTTGAATAAATACCAAGATTTCTTTTTTATTTTAAATTTTAAATTTTAATTGTTTGGTACCAGGGATCCAACTCACAACTTCACACTTGCCAGGCAGGTACTTGTACCACTGAGCCAGATCCCCAGTCAAATATTAGGATTTCTTGCAAAGAAACTCCAGAGCTAATAAAACCAAATTTCTCGTGGTAAGAGGTGCTGGTGTATTGTATTACACCACTGTAGTTAACGTGAATGCATGTTCGTGTTTCTAATTAGGCTTACACATTCTTGAAAACTGTGTGGTTTCATGTTTACAGAAACAGGATTTTAAATATTTTATAAATATTTTGAAACTTCTGTAAAAAGTTAATAGGTTTGGGTTTCCATTTTTTCTTTAATGATTATGCTTTAACCAGGCCAATGTGCTTTGTTGCTGTTGTCTTTTTGAGACAGGGTCTCACTGTGCAGTTCGGGCTGGGCTTGAACTCACTGTGTAGCCCAGGCTGACCTGGAGCTCACAGTGATCCTCCTGCCGCAGCCTCCCGAGCACTGGAATTACAGGCTTGCACCACCAGCGAGGCCAGTTTGCTTTTAAACTGTAGACATATTTTTGCTATATTCGCTGCACTTTCTGGAATTAAATTACAGGGCATAGAGTTGTACACAAGGGAGCCAGAGGATCAGGTATCCATTTAAGAGCTATTTTTTGTGAGATGATATTTAACTTCTAAATTTCTGTTTTGAGAGTTTGCCCAGTAAATGCATTCATCTGCATAATTTAGCACTCACATGACAGATTTCAGTCTTGTGACTTCCTTTCAGCCAGCCTAGTGCATGCAGCCTTGGGTTCAGGTGGCAGTGCCAAAACACAACAGTCCCTGCGGTTCCTGTGTGCTGCGCTTCAGTGCCAAGAAAGAGGGCAGTGGAGTCATTTCCTTACAGCTGTATGATAGCTTGGGACAGTCTTCAACTTTTTCTTAAGGGTAAATTTTAAACACGTTGCAAAGGTTTTGAAAACTACATTCTCCAGCTTGCTTTCATTTAAACCGTGGGGTTGCTTTTCAGTGTTTATTATTAAGGGAAGTGAAGCTGTAAAGCCCTAGCCAAGTAGCCCCGCTGGAGCCGCACCCCTCTGGGGAGCGATTGTGAGTTTCTCCCACCTGTGGGCTGAGTGCCCCGCTCTGCCGGTGGCCTGTGGGGGGCGCTGTGGTGGAGAACCAGCCGTCCTGCCTAGTCAATGTTTTACTGAAGTGGTCTCGTTAGGGCTGCTCTTCTTGTAAACACACAGAGCTGGGCGCTGTGAGAGCCCTGGGAGGTTAGGCTTGGAGACCTGGTGACCCTCAGCACACTATACTGCTTTCCAGTGTCACAGGGAGGCTAGTGGCCCAGTCTCCTTGGCGCCCATACTGGTTACAGTTCTTTTCACTGTTTCCTAATTGCTGCTTCCCAAATCTCCCTGCTTTAGTTGAGTTTGGGCCCCAGGAAGGTGTGGGCCCATGTTGGTGGCTGTGGGGCGGTGTGGTGTGATGACAGGGCCTGAGGGCGGTCCTGGGGAGGTCCCGGTCCCCGAAGAGCTGCTCCTGTAGCTCCTGTGTACCTCGGCAAGAGGAGGTCCATTGTGGTGACTCTGGAAACTGGATGCGCATCAGCTTTTGGGGGATGTTTGGGACTATGTCTCTTTTTAAAGTTGAGGTAATTTCAGGGTAACCAGCTCACAAACCAGGTTCTGTTCTAAAGCCTTGGTGCTGTTGAGCCTTGGGGCCCAATGATTTGTTGCTGTGGCGACTTTGCGGTTCACCGCACATCTCCCCTCCGCTGCCTAGATCCCACTGCCATTTCTCCTGTAGTGATGAGACGCTCTGGCCAGGGCCAGGTATCCCATGGCAGCAGATTGCCGGGTGAAATTCCCGGCCTGGCTCTTTGCAGAGGGGAATCAGCGTGGAATCATGCAGCGTGGAATCATGAGTCTGCTGCCTCCTGCTGGGGTTGTGACCTCCAGCCTGTGCTTTCTGGCTGTGAAGTGTGCCGCTCTGTGTCTCTGCAGGTTGGCCGGGAGGCTGTGTCCAATCCACCTGGCCTGGTGCCTCCCGTCAGCGGGCTGCTTACTTACTCCTGATTACGCCCGCATGTTTATGGCACTTGTCGTTCCCAAATTAAATGCCCGTACATCCAGAGCAGGCTTTCCCGTGTTTTGATTTCTAGTCTTCTTCTCTAGAGTACATCTCCAGTGTATAATTACAATTAGAAAAGTTAAATAAGCAGCAAAATTCGGTTTTCCTTTTAGGTAATCATGGCAACAGCTAGAATCAAACTTCTAGAATTGATTTGCAAAGCACAAGGGTAAAGTTAATTATGACGTATTTACTGAGAGTAATTAGCTCAGCAAGAGCTGAGGTCCAAAATGAGGTTTTTTTTTAAATTTTTTTTTTTTGTCTTTTTCGTTCTTATTGGTACCAGGGATCGAACTCACAACTGCCTGCTTTCAATGCAGGTGCTTATGCTGCTGAGCTAAATCCCCAGCCAAAATGAGGTTTTATGTAGACATACCAGATAACAAGCGGTAAATATCCGGTCAGTACAATAACAATTACAAACCCGCCTTTCTTGACAGGTGGTAGCTTATTTCTCTGGGTGTCTTCTCTGGGGTGGGGTGGGGGTCCTTTAGCACGTATCATTTTTAATTTAAGTGGTTTTTGCTTTAATTTTTTAATATTACACATAATCTTCATTACCACTCTTTATAATGTCTTTCAGTGTCAAAATGTTTTTGCATTATTCCTTTTTTAAAGAAAGCACTTTGCTTTTAGATTTATAGGCTGCAATTGACAGAAATGAAAATATCACTCCTGTTTTTTTTTGTAGGGAGAAAGAGGATGCCTTATTTCTCTTTGACAGTATTCCTTATTTAAAATTTTTATAGCTTTGACCTTTTTAGACCTATGAAAAAATATCCCTGAACCAATTTCTTCTTTAAAATATTAAAAGGCCTTTCGTATCATTGAGTCTTTTTTCTTTTTTGCATCTGCTAGTTAGTATTATGACAGAATTGTCTTTTATATTCCGGTTTAGAGAGCAGCCCTTCAGACTTGTTGATGGCCTTAAAATTTAATTTTCCCTATAAAAAATAATCTGCTTACCAAGTGACTTTATAGCAGTATAAGCTATAAATTGTGTTCTGTCTTTTTAATACTAAGGTTGAATAAAATACATGGACACGCGTCCAGTGCGTTTTTCTGTTTTTGTAGAAAATTTCTACATAATAAAAATATTTGGAATTTTTTTTCCCAGGAAGAAACTGAATAAAAGTACGATTATGCTTGTTTACCAAGCTATTTCTAATGTTGAAAAAGAAGTAAAATAGTCCCTAATTACCCCATGTATCAGTTTAATTAGAAATGTGTTAATGTTCTGTGAAGAAAAATTTGTGACTTTATGCCTAGGTGATCAAAAATGCATGACCTTATAAATATAATACTCATGTAACAATACACATCCAGTGTGTTTTTCTCGTTGGTACTAGAACCTAACCAGATGATTAATTCATGAGTGCTTTCGTTATGATCTGTATTACCCACCATTTGCCATTTTCTCTTTTCTTGTTGGTGTTTGTTGTTGTAGGTACCAGCAGACAGGTGTTAGGTGGCTGTGGGAATTGCACTGCCAGCAGGCAGGAGGAATTCTGGGAGACGAGATGGGATTGGGCAAGACCATCCAGATAATTGCCTTCTTGGCAGGTCTGAGCTACAGCAAGATCAGGACTCGCGGTTCAAATTACAGGCAAGTGCTCCTCTGCAGACTGTCAGTCTGTGGAGCTCAATTAATATTTCATCAGATGTATTGCTGTGGAGGAGGGTCTTGTGAATTATTGATGACATTTCAATTACAATATTCCTTTAATTCTTTTAGTGGGGGACATCAAAGGAAAAATTTTACGAGACAATGGAGCTGTAGGGCAGGAGAAATTAAACATGTAACACTTTTAATGAATTCCAGGCATCGATGCTTCATTTTGCAGATGAGCCCCACTAGATATTTTGGGTCAATACAATGTCTAAGGTTAGCTCCTGCAAATGGATTGTTTACAAACTCAATTATGTTAATATCAATAGTTTACACAATATGGAATTTTAAATTAGACATAATACCTTTAGCTCCATTTATTAAATTTTACATTAAAATATTCGTTTTGGCAGGAGACCAGGTGAGCATTACAGTAAGCACAGAGTCTGTTCATGGGGAAAGTTGGAGCTTTGGAGACGCCTTTCGGTCTAATTCCCTTCCCAGTCGGGGCGCGTGGCAGCGTTTGCAGAGCGCGCTGGTGTCTGGGTTTTTTTGAATGAAGTTACTTCTTCGCTCACTGTGCCTTTAGCCTCCCTCAGTCTTTACAACTTTTATATATGTTCTGAGAGTGAAGCCTAAATAACTGTCTAGAATGATAGAAAACTAGGTTTCAATCCTTATTTTCCATAGAAATTTTTGGAAATTATTAAGTCTTTAGTATCCCCGGAGAGTGAGCATCCAGTCTGTTGCATACGTTAGCACTGAAATATTTGATCTTGAAATAAAGAACCATAAGCATTTCCTTTCAGAAGCCATGCACTGGGTTTACAGAAAACTGTATTGCTAGAAACATTACTAGGTAAACTGTGTGGGATGTTTCATGAGCCCAGACAACCCAAGAGCTCCTCTGGTTTCAGCAGGCTAGTCCATCTGGGGGGACCGCTGGGCACCCGCTGCGTAGGGCAGTAGTGGTGAGCCTGTGGCACGTGTGCCGCAGCGGCTCTTTGTATCATTGAAAGCTTGGAAAGGTTCATTGTCACTGCGTAGAGTCTAGAGGGGCTGTAGACAAGAGCCCTTGTGCCTGAAGTCAGGGACTACAGAGAGCTACCACCCCACGATCCAGGGGTCTATAGAGGTATTTAGTGGAGAGCCAGCCAGCATGGAAAACTGTACACTCAGGCCACTAGTTTCGGTCTTAGAGTTCAGTGCTTTGCTTGTATTTCTTACTCGCAGCCACTTAGCAGATTGTAAGAAAGGTTTGAAATTTTAAAAATATTTTCAAAGTCCCGGGTGCATTTATATAAATGTAGGAGTGGGGGAAATCATTGAGATCTTTAAATGCTGAATATCTGGTTGTGTTAAAGCAGCAGATCCTCTCTCTGTGTTAGAATACTCTTATATTTTGCCTGGAAACAAGTGAAAACATTCCAACCCAAAGCAAAAGTCAAAGTTGAGAAAATGGGCATTTCGGGTGTTCTTACCTGTGAGTGCCGTCCGCTTAGTATTCAACACGTGCCTTCTCCGTTTTAAATAAGCTCGGTGGTGGGCTTGGTCTGGGTGACACTCAGGCCGCCCCAGTGGCTTCTAGGCCCGTCTTTCCTTACGTGATTTCTGGGATCTTCCCGTTCCCACCTGGTTCTTCCCTTCTCTTCCTGTTACCAAGAAACTTGCATGGAGTCTTAATATTCTGGGCCTGGGAGACCTCCCTGCAGTACAGTTGTGATCTAAAAATTAAAACATGCTCTCTCGAGTGGTCACAGTCCTACTAGGAGCAGAGTCAGGCTGAATAATGAGCATCAGCTGTAATCAATTAACTATCGATGCTCATCTCTTCTTTTCCGTAATGAAATCGTGTGGGACATTGGATCGGCGCCCAGACCGTCTTTATTAAAATGGGGCGGTGGAAGTGGCTTCTGGGAGTGTGGTGATGGATCAGCCGAACAACTGGGCTCTTCAGGAGAGGCTTATCCCTGAAAGCTCTGAAGGGCCCCCCGGTTTGCACAGGGCGGGAGGAGCTGGTTCCCTCCCCTTAATGTGGCCCAGCAAAATGAGTAACCTTTGCCCACCGTCCACCTCTGCAGCCAGGTGAACTTGGGGTTCGCGTCTGTGTCTGTCCTAAAGAAAAGTATCCCTTGGGGTCAGGTGTAGTCTTTGCGAACTGGCATTGCCTCGCTGCCTGTGTGCTTTTCCTCTGAGTTGTTGCAGGCTGTAGGTGTCAGGGATCTAATTTGATACAGTGTTACACAGTTAAGTTTCTATGATACCAAGAAACTTCTTGGCATAAGAAACATGGTTTATTGCCCAGCACATTGGCACAAGCCTGCAGTCCCAGCTGCTTGGGAGGATGAGGAAGGAGAACTTCAGGGCCCAGCCCCGGCAGCTTTGCAAGACTGTATTGACTTGCTAGGGATGCGTCTCAGCAGTTGAACGCTTTCCTACCATGCACGAAGCCCTGGGTCCGTTACGCAGCCCTGGAGAAGTTTGGTTTATTGTTTTTGTTTTTGTCGTGTGTGGTAGTCCTGTTTATTTGCTTATTTATTTATTTTTTGGTACCGGGGATTGAACTCACGACCTCACATTTGCCAGTCAGGCACTTAGGCTGCCGAGCTAAAGCCCCAGCCCAGGCCTGTTTATTTTCAGGAGTGAAGCATATTACACAAAATTAATTTAAAAATCTATACTGGTTTTTGTGTTCCCGGTTCATTAAAAATATCCTGCTTTCTTTTTACTTTGCCGTTCTTATTATTGTAATGGGCCCCATGAAGTTTATGATGAGGGGAAATGAATTATTTATCTTTCAAATTTCAGTTAGTACTACAGTGTCTTGGTTAGCCTTTCAGTTAATTTCAGTTTAAGAATAAATATCCCGAAACAATTAATAAGCCTTCCAGGGCAAACATACTTCACAATTCCTGGTAAGACTCTAGACCACAGCAGCTGGTTTTGACCTGCTGATTGAAGTGTTTGGCCACGGAGCTCCTGGTAAGTCCTAAATTCATTAGGTAATCAATGATTATCAAAGATGAAAGGAACCGGAGTCCGTTTGGTAATTGATGCTAATCACCGCAGTACACTTAGCCTTTCTTAGGCTCATCTCCCTGGCATTGAGGTTGGAAAGGGCGCTGAGTTGATGGGACTCTTAATGGGTTTGATTGCCCCTTCTGTGGTCCAGCAGCAATCTGTCTCGCTCTGAGATTTCAGCTCAGCGTGAAGACGTCCCTGTGCTTCTACCTGAGGGAGAGTAGCAGAAATGAAAGGGCACAGTCATGCCAGCTAGACCTGCAGCCAGAAGAAAATAGTGACCGCAGATGATGTGAGTCACAATGTCACCGCTTGGAGCAGGTCACAGAGAGAGCTGTGCGGGCCGGAAAGGCACGTCATGAATCCATGCTTGTCTGAATGTCTTGGATTTTAAATATTTTACACAGCTTTTGATTGGTTGTTTCCTAATCCTTTCTAAGTGAGTATTGATAACTGTCTTTCATTACCCTTGGAGGAGGTGAAGAAGCTGGTGCATTTAATCCTTTTGAAAAGGAATGCCATCATGGAAGGGCCCGGGGGCAGAGCAGGTGCCCCTCTCCTTGGGGAGCTGCGGGGCTCTGTCTTGGAGATGTGCTCACATCTGGGAATTGGTCAGCCTGCCGTGGCTTCTTCTGGTCCCCCGCCACCTCCTCCCCTCTGAGGGCCAGGGGCTGTGACATACAGCAGGAGGTGGGAGGACGCGTCAGTGAACAGAGACATCTTGTCATGCTGGAGTGGAAGGATGAGCCGCCTTTCACGGAGGGCTTTATCAAAGTCTTCTGTTAGAAGCACCAGTTCATTTTCTATGGTGTAGTACATGGCCTAAGTGTAAGCACAGTCTAATTTACTGTGGATACACAAAGTCTCTTAACTTATTGAGCTGTACCAGAAAATCAAAAATCACACTTAATCCTAAAATTCACAGTGATTTCTTGGAATGCTTGATATATTTTACCCCAACTTTAAAAACAATGTTTTCATGTAAACATGGGGGTCCTGGCTCCCTGGGTACCCCGAGGGAGGGCCCTCTCGGGAAGCTGTGGTCGGGAGGATGAGTCGGAAGCGTCTGGAGTGGGGAGAGGGAAGGAGGACGCTGAAGCTGGGCTCAGAGGACTGTGCAGCCGGGGACCTGAGGCCGGTTCCAGCAGGCGGGGTGCGGGCCGTGGGCAGGCACCGAGGGCAGCAGCGAGAGGGCGAGGCTGGCTGGGGTGAGCAGAGCTCGGAGCTCCAGGTCTCAGCCCGGGCAGGGCTGTGGGCAGCCATGGAGGCCTTGGGGGAAGGGGCTGTGGTGAGGGAGTTTCTCTTAGAACTGATGGTGCGGGAAGGAGCCATGGCCCAGAGGAGAGAGTGCCGGAGCTGGGGAAGTGCTGGCGTGGGGGGTTCGGGGAGGGACGGAGGAGGTGGGATGTGGTGCACGGCAGTGTGGTGCAGGTCGTTTGCAGGGGTGGGCAGGAGGTCGGGTCCCAGAGAATGGTGATGCTTCTGTCCGTTGGATTGGGAGACAAGGCGGGACGGGTGATCACTGCTGCCCTGGGCACCTCATGGCAGCACCGAAATGTCCATGGAGGGTCCGGGCAACAGTAGGCAGGCCCATATTCAGCATCCTGGATTTATCAAAGGCTTTGAAATGGGATTAGTGAGGTGGCAGGAGTGATTCATGCACGCTTTGCAGCACAAAGTCACCATCTTTGTCAGAAAGCGAGAGGGACTGGGAAGGAGGACAGTTGAAATTGTTGCCGCTGGCTGCCCTGGACGGCCTTGGCTCCCAGCTGCCTCCCGCAGTGTGAGCTTGTGTCACTGAGGGTGTGTACTGGGCTCTGACTTGGCCTTCCTCTTTATCTTGCGCTCCGACTTGTTCTGCTGCTCGGCTCTTAGCCTGGAGTGTGAGCGCTTCCTTCCTACTGGTCAGCCCTGCCGCGCTGGCCTCGCAGCTGGCGGTCTGTGTGCTCACAGGCTTGCGGCCACGCTGGTGCTCAGGCCCTGGAGTGTGCAGGCTCGCGTGTGCACAGTGGCTCTTGTGCACACTCGGGAAGGGCAGAAGAGAAGGGGATCCCAGGACCTGTGCTGGCACGCTGGCTCATCGAAGGATTGCTGGTGAGGCCTGCTCTGTCTGCTCAGACCGTCCATGCTCCTGCTCACACTGTCCATGTGGCCTGCAGGCCCCTGGCATCACCATTCCACGCTGTTGTTAAGGGGAAGCAGGCAGCTATGTGCAGAGAAGGCAGGAGCCCTTCTCAGCAGTGCTTCGCCTCCAGGGGATCATGTCACCTTGTCACTCCAGTCCCCGAGCCCTTGAACCCCCTGTCTACTTGCTTTCCTGCCTGGCCAGTGGGGATGGGATGGAATTCTGTGGGTTGAAAACCCCCAGCAGACCACAGTGCAGATCATAGCAGGCGTGCTGCAGTGTGCTGTTTACAGCGCTGTGCTCACTTAGGCTGAGTTCCACCATAGAATAGCCTCACTAAGCGGGAAGCGCGAGGGCCACAGAAGTATTTGTTATGTGCCTACTTGATGTTTTCTCCTCGTTATAGAATGTTTAGTTTTCTCTTCATTCCTACATCTGGTAATATGGTGAATGAATTCCTAGACTTTACTTGCTAGGTTTTAACCTCAGTAGCTCTTTTGTTACTGAAAATAGCATCAGTCAGTTCTCCTAGGTTATGTTTTCTGTTTTGAACAGTGAAGGGTTTTGTTTTTTGTGTTTGGCAGCTGATCGCCCGTTCGTTCCTTCATCATTGTGTTTTCTCCCTGGACTCCTGGGTGCAGGTTCGAGGGGCTGGGCCCCACCATGATCGTCTGCCCGACGACGGTGATGCACCAGTGGGTGAAGGAGTTCCACACGTGGTGGCCTCCCTTCCGAGTGGCGATTCTACACGAAACCGGCTCCTATGCCCACAGGAAGGTAACAGTGTGATGCTTGAGTCCTGGTCAGGTGTCGTGTTTGAAGTCTTTGATTTTACACTTTTGCTTTTCCTCTGAACTGTGTACGGTCCATCCCCAAGTTCCTTTTACGTGTTTAAACTTGTTTTGTAATTATCGACTTAGTTCAGAGCTCTGTCCCTTCACAACACTGGCTTTGTGTCTCTGATGGCACTGTGACACGTGTGTTATCCGGAAGTCACAGCTGAGCATGAACAGGGTGCCACAAACCCGTATGTGGGATTGCACATCTGGTTGCTTCTGTGGCAACCAACTGGAGGGACTGGGCATCAGCAGCTTGAATCCGCTTCAGGAAAGTGGGTACAAAATTCACGTGTGGCTCTAGCATGCCTGACCCAGAATCTGAAAGGTGCCTCGTTATGGACCTTCTGAACACTGATGTGATGCCACACCCAGTAAGCCCTCGTCTGACCTCACGTGACAGGTGGCAGTTAAAACAGGATTGGTAAGCTGTTGCATAAGGTACCGATGAGCTGTGTGTACAGTATTTCACGTGTAGACCTGGCTCCCGGCCCTAGGTGTCAGGGCACATCTAACAGCTGGGAAAATCCAAACTCTAAAGCACTTTTTCAAGCATTTCGGATATAAAGAATACCTATCTGGTAAATGGCATTTATTAATATGATTTTAAATCATGTTCTTGATAAATGAAAGAAACAACCTGCTATTGTGAGAATTTTACAAGTAATATTTTAGTTATGTTGCATTTTGCTCCTGAATCTGGGGCCATCACATATTGAAAGATTTTTCCTCCCTTCTTAGTTTGGTTAGCAGCTACCTTGTCAAGAAGAATGTTACCCTTGCTCCCGTGGGCAGGGTAGCTGGGGGTGTTAGGCACTTTTTCTCAGCTGTCTCACCCACATAGGCTGCGCCCTGGGGAGCAGGTCCAGTGTCTGACTGGGAACCTTCTTTCCTGAGTCTTCTGAGCTCTGGAGTGAGCTCTCCTGCACCCCAGGCAACAGCAGCCTCTGTAGGGGCTGAGGAAGGCTCCCGAGGGAGAGGTCTCAGAGCTGCTCGGCTCCGGAGCCTGCACACTGTCCCTGTCTCCCTTTTAGGTTCTTGTGTGTTCATGGGCATGGCTCAGCGGAGTTTCTGGCAGATTCAGAGTTTTTGAGTCAGGAATATCTGTAGCTTGGTAAGCAAGTGAGGCGAGATGGAATCTTGCGTGTTCTAGCTGTTCCGGTTAAAACCAGCTGACCGCCCAGCGTTTTACCAGGGAAGTAGAAATCAGCTAAGAGAATTAAGGAAACAGGGAAGGCCGTGATTCCTGGGGTGGGGAGGAGCACAGCGTAGGTTGTTTCTGGTCAGACTAAACTGTAACTGTCCCCTCACCGGTGCGCATGAAACTTCTGATTCTGTTTTCATTTCCGGTGTCTGCTGACATCTAACATTGTGTTATAAACTCCTGGACGCATGGGTGGATGTTTGATTTATGAAGGCAGGCTTTCCTTCTGTCCCTCTATCATTTTGGGGGGTGGCGGGGTGGGGTTGGTGAAGCACCTGTGTTTCGCTCCTTCCCGGGATGTCTCTGCCTGTGGTCCTGCTGTGGTGGTGGGCTGCAGAGCGCCGTCCTGGAGTCCACACACGTGGTCCATTAGCACCAAGTGACGTGGCTGTGAGCGTGCAGGTGGCACTGGCTCCCCTTTGTGGAGGGCGGGGCCGGTAGGAATAGACACTTGGCTTGGGTGACAGGGCTTCCTCGGTTGCTTGTCGGTGTTTCTGTGCCTTCCGGTTTACCGAGGGCTGACTCGGAATTTCTTGCTGCTAAGGAGAAGCAGCATTGTCATTTCTTCGCGTTTTTATTCTGCTGCTTGATTCCCTGCTGCCTTTTTCTCTTTATAAACCATCTCAGATGTAGATGTAAGACGTTACACAAAAGATGGAGCGAACCATCACCACATTACTTGTTACATTTCTGGGGGACATGTTTATCTGTGCAGATCTCTACCGTCACCTTGCACACGAACAGTAGCCTACACTGCACTGGCGGAGTGCAGTAAGGTCTGTTTCTGACTCAGGTTTCAGGGTCTCTCAGTCAGTGCCCGTCTTGTGGTGCCCGTAAGGCAGCATGTCATGCTGGGCTTCTTTTCCTCCTCTGTCAGCCAAGATTGCTTTCTCCACAGATGAGCTTTCCATACCCAGGGCTGTCCCGCCCAAGTGTGGTGTGGCACTGTGGCTTCAGGGACATTCAGTACTGGGCAAAACAGGGGTGAAGAATTTCTCTTTAGAAACATTTAAAAGAGCAATAATATTTAGGCAATTGTTTTCCTTATCATTCAAGCGGAATATCTTGATTTTCCTAATGCTTTGTGGTAATTGGTCAGACATAAAATTTCAAATGGTTTTCATTTAGAAAGCAGATATATGATCAGATTCTAAACTAGTACACATCTATCATTCCTTTTCCCCAAATTGCATTTTAACTTCCCACCTCTTTCGCCATTTAATACTAGATTATCTTTGTTAATAATCTGTTTGATTGGCAGTGTAATTTAGAGTTGTCAAGTGCATACCCAGCAACCGTGCAAAAAAACTATGCATCTAATAGTTTCACATGATCAAGTCTGATAGAAATGTTCAGACTCTCCTTTAATGGCCAGTGGAAATCTCATTTAATAAGCATCCTAAGTTTCTTTTCCCGATTGTGATATGTGACTTCTTTTTTCTAATACAGAAAAACTTTTATGTGAACCGATTAGTATTTGTTGAGCAATTATAAACACTGTATTCCAGCTGTTTGATACAGAAAATGGTGTGGTGGTTTTAACTAATCTTGAAAAAACCAAATGTTTTCCTGGGAAAAGAAAATGCATGAAGAGATAATGAAAGGAGGCAGCTTGTGGTGCTGGCTGCATGTCCCCCGGTGGGAGGTGGCGCCATTAGCACCCTGTTAGAAAGCTTATCCAGTGATTAAGAACCTTCTTCCTGAGCGCTGAGAGGTGTGGTGCTGAGTTGCTTATATTCTGATTTCCTTTTTCTGCTGTGAAGGCTCCAGTGATTCTGTGGACTATTTTAGATCATCCAAAGAACTTTGTCTTGTTTCGTTCAATTCACGACGTTTAGAGGCACAGGAAAGGCAAAGGTAACCCCAGCCTAGGTTTCGAGGCATAGGTTTTGTGGTCACTACTCCAGGTGTGGCCTGTGAGACATCCGGCAGGTCACTGTGTCTCTCCGAGCCTTGTTGGACGATCTGTGAAATGGGGATTTTCTGATAATTTTGTGAGAGTTCACATGGAATAAATGTGTGTGCATGAAGAGCTCAGTGTGGCCCCAATACCTAAGTTACTCCAGTGTTTCTGGCTTTTGTTCAGAACTGAAAGCACCACAAGCCTCGTCACCTCAGAAGTGGAGCGCAGATGCCAGGAAAGGCAGTGCTGCCAGGTTCGGTGTGCAGGCGGGACAGGAAGTCCAGCCCTGCTTCCCAGAAGCGTTCATGGTTATTCTGGCTTCCTGTATCCAGATCCCTTTGTTCCTGTAGGAAAGAATGAGAGGACATTCGAACTCTTCGTGGGAGGTGCAGTGTGGTTACAAAGCAAACCACACAGAAGCCTGGCCTTCTGATGCCCCTCACGGCTCTTACAGAGGTCTGTCTGCCGAGATAGGAGACCAGAAAGACTTGGCCTTGGAAGCGTGAAAGCTGGTCGGGTGAAAAGGATGAAAGTGGAAAGGGTGCCACCCGGGTGCTCGAGTCCACAGTCTTCCAGGCCCATTCCAAGGGCTCAGTTCCAGCCCGGGCCATGCAGTTCCTGTGGACTGCAGAGTCAGTGGCACATCCCATACAGGAAGCCGTGGATGCTCGGCTAGTTCTCGGAGATGTATTGTAAAATTGTGGTGCTGGAGACCTTTGTTTTCTTCATTGTCAGCACAAATCCTTGTTTATTAACGGTTTAGCTTGAAGGAAGTCTTAATTAATGACAGGTGCGGGGAATCCGGCCTGGGGAGCCGGGCCGAGTGCCGAGAGTGGCCTTCACAGGCCTGGGCTTCCCCTGCGCCCAGCCTGACAGCGTGATTTATGGCTGCTGTTTCCTACCAGGCCGATGTCTGCCCTCTAGGAGGGATCGGTCTCCTGAGCCTCCGTAATCACAGCAGCCCTTCCAGGGCCTCCTCTAATGACAGCAGCCCTGCGCTCAGTAAGTCGGGCTAATTGCAGATGTACCCTATTAATTGCAAAAACTAGGAGAGGTTACATATTTTACAAGCTTTTAATTTGAAACCGCCCGAGATGATTTGTCTTAAGTGTTTGGATATAGACGTCTGTAATATTCAACAACTTGCCATTATTGAAGCTCCAGTCTAGGCAGTCACAGAATTCTGAGGCTGAATCAGGTGAAGACAAATGGTCTTGGCTGTGTTGCTACCCAGTGGCTAGGCAGAGATGACATTTTCAGTCAGGACGTTTTGTGGTTTCTTAACTTTGTATAAAATCATCTTCTAGGTGCTCCTGATATGCTCTATGTCTCTGAACCAGCAGGAATTCCATAATTTCTGGAGCTAACATTGCAGAGCATTCCAGTTAAGCTTTGATCCTTAAGCAAGTAGAAGAAACTCCAGGAGGCTGTATTGGCGCGGCTCAGCGTTCTGTGTATCTGTGGTGACACTCCTGCCTGCCTGCACAGAGGACCTCCAGCTGTGCCTCTGGGTGTGTCCTCAAGGCCCACAGGGGTGACCACGGCAAGGCCAGGCATTGGGGTTCCACAGGTCCAGAGCTTCTGAACCAGTGTGGCTGCATTTGCAGTGTTTGGCTGTGCACAGTATAATGTGGGTGCTGGTTGAGCTTTGTGCTGTTTCAAGCCCAGGCAGCTGTCTGCTCCCTGCCTCTGTGCACAGCTCACACCTAGAGGGCACTTGGGCGTGGAGCAGTCCTGTGACTCACTTAGCTGTGGCCCCACCTCCCGCCACGGCTTCTGGCAGCCCCGCTTTCCTGGAGGGGACCTCAGGGAGCTATTGCCTAGAATCTCGTAGAAGATTCAGACGTGGAGGCGAGCTCTGCCTTGTGAGAGCCAGTGCCTGGCGGTGCTGCCTGTTGCTCTGGGCAGCACATTTCTATGCTGGACACCTGCAGCCAAGAGCGGAGCGGGCAGGAGAGGCACGGGTCTGCAAGCTTCCACAGCCCAGCGTGGACGCTGCAGCTGTCGGAGGGTCAGTGCAGGGAGGGTTACATCAGGTGTGGCTGTTGATGTGGAGCTGACCATGTGGGAGCAGTCGCAGGGACAGCGCTGTTCCAGGTCGCAGGCATTCGGTCAGTCTGTAAAGCAACTTCATAAGCTCCCGCAGTGTCAGTACACCGTGACACAGGAGACACAGTTCTCCCCTGCATTCTGCTCCTTCACAATTTTCTCTGCACAGTTCGTATTCTTTTCTGCTCTGTAGAATTAAAACATGCTGTAATCCTAGCTGTTTTAAGATATTAATGAAATTGTCATTTTTTGGATGATTTTGAATTTTGTGCCACAGTTTAAGATGGTTGTGATTCTCTGATGCTATTAGGCTCTCTGGTGTTTAGCTGCTCTTGTATTCATTCCTGTGATAAGCCTTATTGCCTTATTAGGTCAGAGCAATGATGACTAAAAAAATTTTTTTTTGGTCCCGGGGATCGAACTCATGACCTTGCGCTTGCGTGGCAGGTGCTTATGCCGCTAAGCTAAATACCTGGCCCGATGGCCAGCTTTTAGAGACCCTGTACCTAGGTTGCAGCCCTAAACCCACTTATTTATCAGAGTGCCAACACTGCAACTTAGCCTGAATACCCGATGCTCAGCCTCTGGAGCGCTTGGCTTGTGTGCCTACAGGGGGCCCTGCAGGACTGCCTCGGCACATGTGTGTGCCGTAGGTTCGTCACACCTGGGTCGAGCGTATTGGTAGTTCTTATCTGTAAAGTAACTGCCCTGTATGGGTGGTGGCACATCTGTGGCTTTGAACCCGGGGCTTGTTGGCCATGGCCTGTCTATCTGTGGTGCACTTGTCTCCTGCGTGTGGGCACAGTTCAATCCCTGGTCCTCTTCCCGCATAGCTTGTGAAGCCTTTGGGTGTGGTGAGCACGTGGACCCAGGAGCACAGCATGATCAGGTCCCTCAGGGCCAGGCTGATTTTTGGGGGGCAGGTCCATCTCCTTGGGTGACGGATGCAGTGACACTTATCCCCTGTTGGTATTCCAGTTGTTTGAGGAGCTGCGCTGGTTAGCATGCCGTGCCGTGTGCTCTATGTCTGTGCCTGTTTCTTGACATTTCTAAAGCCATACACGTGCTCGTTGGACTTCTCAGAGGTTGGTTTGGTTAGTTTGGTGTTTTCAAAGAATTGTTTTTTATTTCTATCAGTTCGGCCAGGCTTTTTCTTTAAGGTTCACGGGGGACTTTTTTCTCTGGTCAGTTTTGTCGCTTTGCCTCTTCAGCTGGTTGAGCTGACCGCATCAGGGTATCAGCCGGCCTAAGCGGCCTCTGGGTAAGCAGGGAGCAGTGGTGCGGAGCTGAGGCTCCGTCCTCCGCGCCCACTGCTGTAACCTTTGTCCTGTGCATCTTCCTCTGTGCTGACGCAGTGGTCGGTCGGGTCTCCGGGCGGCCTGTGGCCTGACCGCTGTCCATGCAGGCAGCAGGTCAGGGACCGACCGGCTGCTGTCTTGTCTGGCTTTGAGGCGGGGGACCGTTTGGGGCTCCTCCCTCAGGGTGTCGCCCCGTGCGGCACGCACAGCTTCCTGTCCATTCAGGGCTGTGTGTCTGGCACCGACCCGCATTGCTGATCCTGCCTTCTTGCTCTGCTTTCCCGAAAGCATTGCTTCTGCCTCCCTGCGGGGAGGCTGGCTGCTGGGCGCGCCCTGTCCGGTGGTGCCCTCCAGGGACGCTGAGCCACTGTGTCTTCTGTTTCTTGTGTTTCCTGTTTCTCTTTCCCTACTTTTGCTCTTCTCTATTACTTTTCTCCTTATAGTTGTTTGATAGTTTTACATTTTTTCCTAGTGTATAAATGGATCTAACAACTGTTAATAATCGGCTTAAATTCTTGACAGAGGTATTTTAACTTGTGTTTCTCCCACAGCTAAGAACCAAGCAGTATCCATTATCTGTGTCCCATCCTCCTCTCGGATGGGGTGAAATTTTTATTCCACTTTTATTTTCCCCTAATTTCAGTCCCGAGAGGTCCACTTAAAATATGTTTAACAGCTTCATTCTTGTGTAGAAGTGTCTAATATTCGGGCCTGATTGATCTGTCTGAGTGATGCATTTCAGAAGCCAGTGTGTGGCGTGTGTAATATTCCATGGCTGAGCGCTTCATGACTCTGAGAGGAGTGGGGCCTGATACCCAGTGGCCTGCTCCCTTCCTGCCTCTGCATCGGGCTCCCCTGCCCACTGGCTGCCTGGCCTGGTGCGTGGGTTATGAGTACGAGCCACCGTGTGTCAGCTCTGCAGTGGAGCTGTGCTCTTGCACAAGGGCTGCTGTGACACCGTCTGTGACGAGCATACCGGGCCCGTGTCCTGCACGTCACTGTTTGCATCACACAGTCTGGCGAGCAGTCTACAGGTGGCTGGTTTTCTGACTTGTCTGTCTGAAGCTGGAGTTCATTTCTCCTGTCCACAGTGACCCCGGAGTGGGTGGGGAGAGAGCAGTCGGGGCCTGGAGTTCTTTCCCACTAAAAATGAAGTATTTTCTGTCTGCTGCTGAAGTGTAACAGAAAGATACTCAGTGCAGGCAGTTTCTTTCTTCCAAGGAGATTCTTTTCCTTCTCTGTTTTGCTCAGGGTGGAAGCTCTTGCCGCTCTTCTTTTCTTTCTTTCTCTTTTCTTGTTTTTCAGTTTTTGGAATCCAGACACCCTGCAGGACGTGCCGAGGGCCGAGTCTTCCTCGGGTCTGCCCGACATGCTGGAGTGTTTGTCTCTGCAGACTCAAGCCTCTCCTTAGTGTTTGGATCGTTTTGCTTTCCAGCCATTGCTTTTGTGTCCTTTCCATCCCAGCCTCCTGCAGTGACACACCTTCCTTCTCTCCTTGGGTTATCTTGGTTCTGTTTTAAAATAACCATCTTCCATCCACTTAGTTGTTTTAACAAGGATGGGCAGAAATGTTTTAGAAAAACAGAAATCAGTGAAGCGTGATTTTAGAATTTATTCTTGTCTCTTTTGAAGCCTTCCTCCCATAGTGGGTCTCCTAGAGTTTTCTACCTCTCAGATTAAACAGATGTAAAGTGCATTTCCCATGCTGATAACACATTAGAGTTGTATGTATCATGTTTGTATTTGCACATTTTTAGAAAGTGCTATCAATTGTGACTGAAAGGGTATCATTTTAAATCGTGTCCATTGTGTTTCATTTCCGATTTAAAACTGAGCTTACTATTTTATTATATTTTTAGGAGAAGCTAATTCGAGACATTGCTCATTGTCACGGAATCTTGATCACTTCTTACTCCTACGTCCGGCTGATGCAGGATGACATTAGCAGGCACGACTGGCACTATGTGATCTTGGACGAAGGGCACAAAATTCGAAACCCCAACGCTGCCATCACCCTGGCTTGCAAACAGGTATGATCTTATACAGGGGTCCTTCCACGTGACTCAGGAATAGCTCGCTGCTTTTAGTAAGCTCATTCATGGCATCTTTCCTTATCTCTGTAAGGAGTTGAAAATATACGTTTTGCCTCAATGCAGGAAATTCTTTATGCTTGCCTATAATGCTTTAAAAATGATGATCCCTCCCATCGTAAAATATCTCTTATAAGGGTTGTTTGGATATAACCAAATCCAATGCTAACCCTTAATAGTCAACTTGAATGGTGAAAAACAGTATCTCCTCTCTTTTCACCTGCATATGTAAAGAGAAAGTTGTAATTGTGTAAAGCATCTGCATGTTGGAGAGAACCAGTGGCAGAGAACGGAGGTGTTGGATAAATGTGTTGGATGACATTGCGTAGGTGTGTTTTCAGGTGGGGACTGTGATGGTTGTGAGAGGTGAGTTTAATAGGGAGGCGCTGTCTCAGTTACTTTCCTGTCATTGCTGAGACAAAACACCTGACACCCAAAATGAAAGAAAGGTTTGTTTAGCTCACCGTTTGTGGAGGTTTCAGGCCATACTCAGCTGGCTCCAAGGCAGGGTGGCGTCACTGAGGGGCAGCTCCTCACGGCTGCTGTGGCAGATTCCAAAAGCAGTAGTTGCAAAGGGGCAGAAGGGGAGAGCGTGCCTCTCTCCCCCGCTTGTGTTGTGTGCTGGCTCCACCCCTGGGCAGGTGCAGCATTGACACTGCCAATCCCAGTGCTGGACAACGAACCAGTCACAAAGGCTAGACTCAGCCACCTCCCTGCCTGCATGAGGCTCTGAGGGCGCATCAGACACAAACCATAACAAGCGCTTTCTTCCCTAAATAGTTCCGCACGCCTCATCGGATCATCTTGTCCGGCTCACCAATGCAGAACAACCTCCGAGAGCTGTGGTCGCTCTTTGACTTTGTCTTCCCCGGAAAGTTGGGCACCTTGCCCGTGTTTATGGAGCAGTTCTCCGTCCCCATCACCATGGGGGGATACGCCAATGCTTCTCCTGTGCAGGTAACAGCGGGCAGCAGTGGCACCTCAGTGTTTAAAATGTTCCTGCTGCGCAGTGTACTGTGTAGCCAAGTCCGTCAGAATGTAAGAAGAATGGCTAGGCTTGTAATGGGTATCTGGTAAAAATCAGAAAATTATTTCTGTTGACAGATCATATTTGTCCAGATAAGGTTTTTTTTAATGACTTGAAATATTTTCTCAGAGGACACCCCTAAAATAAAACTTGCCTTTGCATAATCGAAATGAAACGGCGTGGTTTTAGCTGCTCCTGGGGCTTTCTGTTAGAGGAGGAATAAAGTGATATCACCCGTGGTCTCGTGATCAGAAAGCAAGTGCGTTCTAGAAGTTCAGTGCGGGGCAGCTCGGGCAACGCATGGCTGGAGTGTCGAGAGGCCAAGGGCAGGGAAGATGGAACAGGATGCATCCTATGGCCAGGTTCTAGGGGAAACCGGGCCACAAAGAGCAAGGCCTTCTGGGTCAGGGTGGCTGTGAGCCAGGCCGTGTGTGTGGTGGGGCAGCGAGAGGCCTGTGGGACTGGGCTGGGGTGCTCACTGGGTGTGGCTGCAGGAGGTTCAGGGCGAGCAGTCCATGGGATAACAGAAGGGGCCGCACAGCTGGATGGAAGGTGCCACTGAGGAACCTGTGGGGCCACTGGGGTTGAGGGTGGTGAAGAACTGGACCTGGACTTGGGTGGTGGGCTGAGAAGGGCAGTGGAGAGCAAGAGACCAGGTGGCGTTGGTGGGCGGGACAAGCAAGAGGTGGGATGTGGCACACCCTGTCACGCCTGCTGCCTGGGAGGCTGAGACGGGAAGAGTGGCCTCCCGTAGGGCTCCGTCATCCTGGGGCCGTGTGGCCCGACTCTACCCGGGTGAGCTCTCCCTGCGGGGTCGCAGGCTCCTTCTGCTGCTCTCCGAGGTCTCCACGGAGCAGCCATCTCGCTGCTGCCGCTGCCTGCCCACACTTTTGGTCTTGTGATCTTCAGTCGTGTGGTGTGGTGGTTGCTTTCTAGCTTTGGGAGAGCACAAGATTATAAAGATAACTCATCTGAAAGTAGCTTTTCCCCCAGAGGAGGTCAAGACTATTTTAGAGTCTGACGACTATATAATAATAACTAAAGCAAGCGTAGAAGAAGGATAAGGCACAAAATTAGCGGGTTTTCTTTTATTGTACCCTTTTGTAAGGTAAGTTTTTGCATTGATTATATTATCACAAAAGCTACCATCCCTTGGGTTTTACTGGATTTAGGTGAATTTTTCCAAGCCGTTTCCCAACTCTTTTTAGTGTTTTCTACAATCCTTTATCTTTCAGTTTTCAGGAGCAGAGTCAGCTGAAAGGTAAGGTCGAGCACATCCTTCCCCTTTCTTTCGTTGAAGGTGAAAACTGCTTACAGATGTGCCTGTGTCTTACGGGACACCATCAACCCGTACCTGCTGCGGAGGATGAAGTCGGACGTGAAGATGAGCCTGTCTTTGCCAGATAAAAACGAACAGGTCTGTAGGGCCAGGTCTCCCGGGCTCTGCCCAGGCCTCCGGCTGTGCCCGCCCACCCCTTCGCTGGCTTCCCCATGAGCAGCAGGCAGCAGGCTGGCGCACGGCTGTGTGGCACTGTGCCGGCCGTGGCACCTGTGCTCACAGGACGACTCCTGTAGGCTCCGGTGCCTGTGTTAGCACACACAGCCCTGCACTGCTCTTCTTGAAAGCCTGCACTCACCACTCCGCAGTGTGTTAGATCTCGGTCAGGAGGGTCACGGATAAGATGCTTGCGTGTGGGAGGAATGAAGAAATCGGTTGGAGGGGTAGGAAGTGCTGGGGGCGAGGGCGAGGGTTCGCAGAAGTGGTTTTGTTGATTTGTTTTTGGTGGTTCTGGACTTCACACTGAGCTGCGCCCCAAGTGGCACTGTTGCCCACGCCGAGCTGGAGCTTGCAGCCGTGCTTCAGCCTCGCAGAGTGCTGGCGTCACAGACATGTACCTCTGCAGCTGGCTGGGAAGTGCACTCCATATAAAGGGCGGTCGGTGACACCTCTGGTCATCTGGCGTCTGAGTAGGACCTGGCAAAGGTTCAGCAGTGAATCGAGTGGGCTTTGGAGGGAGAGGCCGCAGGTGAGGCGCTGGGGAAGTGAGTTGATCGGCTTGCAGAGTGGCAGGGAAGCCAGTGCAACTGGGTCCTCAGGCGAGGAGAGCGGCTGCAGGGAGAGGCCAGATCGTGAGTGCCCACAGTCTCTGGGGAGACTGGGACTGCTCCGGTAATGTCCTGAGCAGAGGCCTGATGTCGTCGGTGGAGGCGTGGGAAGCTTCTTCCTTCTCACCCCCGTCCTGGGGTCCTGCGGTCTGCTCAGCGCCCCAGGCACATGCACCGTGGCTTCAGTGGTGGGGCCGGATGCCTTGCACGCCTGTGCTCAGGGCTGCTTGTCTCACGCCCTTCCCTTCTCTCCATACTCATCTCCACACCGAGGCCTCCACGTTCACGCCCTCTGGCTCTGCCCTCAGACTGTGGCCCTCTGAGCCCTGTAGTCCAGGCCAGCCAGTGCCTGGACGCCCATCTCTGATCGTCCTCAGTCTCCTGCTGTGTCACATCCTACAGCTCTGCACAGCTCCGAAGCTGGTGCTGTCAGGCTTGGGTTGGCCTGCTCTCTGCCGGGACTCCCCACTCCTCCCAGGATCGTGCACTGTTCCTGAACCCATCTCCCGCCAGCACCAATTTATTGTCCCCCCGAGATCCCAGACTGTCCCTTCATGCTGTGCCCTGGACACAGCTGTGTTTTCCTACGCTGTGCCTGTGTTTGCCACCCTCTCCCCACCCCCAGCACACGGGTGCACACACACATGCACATTCACACATGTGCGCACGTTTGCTTGTACTACACCCACTTATCACAGAGAAGTTCCTCCTGAGCTCCCCCGGGCCTCTCCTAGACCGGACGTCCTCGGAGGCCTGGCCGTTGTGGACCCATCTTAGGGTCTCTCATAACTGCTGCCACAGTGGCTTACAGGCAGAGCAGCCTGTGGAGAAGCATATAGATAACTGTGCTGGCAGGGATGAGCTTTAGCATTGTAGGTGAAGGTCTGAGTTTAGGAAGTGCAGAGTTGTAAGACCTCAGATTCCTGTCTTAGAAAGACGCCCCAGAGCATACGTGAAGGCACTGGGCGGGGAAGAAAGCAGGTACAGAAAGCTTGAAGTTGGCGGGAGAGACGGGCAGAGAGGGAAAGCGTCAGCAAACCCGAGGCGCGGGCTCCTCAGCATGGTGGGGCTGGGGGGAGCCGAGTCCAGAGCCTCGTGAAGCCCAGGGAAGGGGGCGCTCTGGCGGGGTGCGTCTGTGGGCCGAGAGGAAGGGCGGTCTGTGTGGCTGGTTCTGAACTCACCTGTGATCAGGAGCCCAGTCCAGAAGGACTGTTGGGCCATGATGCAGGGCGGCAGGTGGCCATACACACCCTGTGCTTGGGCACGTCGTCAGTGCTTGCTATAGTAATGGGAGCCACACTGGTAAATTGCATATCATGTACTCTTTTCATTAGAAACCATATTAATGATTTAATTTATTCTAATAATTTTTTAAAGCTATGGTTTGTTTTTCTTTCCCCTATAGGTCTTATTTTGCCGCCTTACAGATGAGCAGCATAAAGTCTACCAGAATTTCATTGATTCTAAAGAAGTTTACCAGATTCTCAATGGGGAGATGCAGGTGAGCCAGTGATGCAGCTGGAAAGATGAGCGGTGGACCAGGGGAATAGCGGGGCGGTGTGTTCACTTGTGTGGGGCCCAGGGGGTGAACATGCAGCCCTGCACAGCATTCGGGGCAGAGGAGGAGCGAGGCCCAGGGAGGAGGCAACCCCGAGTTGTGCAGGGAGAGCCCAGCGCGGCCAGAGGCAGGGGTGGATGTAAGGTACGTTGCTGGGTTTTGCTCTTTTATGAGGAGAAGGTTATGAGGATCCACCAGTTTCATCAATTTCTTAGAGAAGCCCTGGCACTCATAAATGTGTAGGAACCATTGCCATCATGGACACCAGGCGTCACTGTGGGTCAGAAGCGTCTGCCTCTGGCTCTCCTGAGTCCAGAACGGGAACGGAGTGTCCCTGTCCGTACCAGTCAAGCTCGCCCTCTGCCGTTGTCCAGAATGTGGAGGTTACAGGGCAGTGTCTTTCATGAACGTGTGTGTGAGTGCGGCAGAATGTGGCTTTCAGGGACAGTTCATCCTCTGTGTCCCCCCCTCCCCCCACACACACACATACTTCCAGTGAGGTGGGCACAGCTCACGGAAACGTGGCAGATGTGCTGGCGCGTGGGCCTGGAAGCTGGGCCTCTGAGTCTTCATCAGATGGCGCACACTGCCCTGAGTCAGGGGTGTTCTCTGTGCCTCTTGGAAACGTTATGGCGAGAACCTTCGTTAAGCTCGAAGCTCTTTCGGTAGTGAGCAAACAGACACAACCAGAGAGAGCACCGTCTCTTTCACCCTCCGGGCCGCTCTGCAGTGCAGTGAAGAAGCACACTGAATGACATGTGACGGGGCCTGCAGGTGTGGGTCTGCCTGAACACCTGTGCAGGGTGGATCACATATGACGGGGGCCTGCAGGTGTGGGTCCGCCTGAACACATGTGCAGAGTGGATCATGTGTAACGGGGGCCTGCAGGTGTGGGTCCCCCTGAATACCTGTGCAGGGTTGATCACGTGTGACGGGGCCTGCAGGTGTGGGTCCGCCTGAACACCTGTGCAGGGTGGATCACTTATGATGGGGGCCTGCAGGTGTGGGTCCGCCTGAATACCTGTGCAGAGTAGATCACGTGTGACGGGGGGCCTGCAGGTGTGGGTCCACCTGAACACCTGTGCAGAGTGGATCACGCCCTCAGCCCATTGGTCTGCAGGGGACATGTTGTGCTTAAGTCATAACTGTGTTTTTCTGTAGCAAGTTTACAGTGCTGTGAATGCACGGCTTTCTTTCCAGTGAGGGGAACTGAGTGTGAGCCCAGCCGCAGATGGGCTTAGTCAGGTAGAGCTGTTTGGTTTCCTAAGGAGTTGTCAGGGGAGGAGAATGATGAACTCTCCAACTCCTGATCATCTGTGGCTAGAGAAGAAGGCAGGAGCTGGTGAGGAGTGACGCTAATCCGTGTCACCCACTGAGCATGCTCTTCCCGCTGCATCCCTCCGTACCATATTCTCTGAGGTAATCGCAGTGCACTTGTGTTTTCTTGCACTGCAGATTTTTTCTGGACTTGTAGCCCTGAGAAAAATCTGCAACCACCCTGACCTCTTTTCTGGAGGCCCCAAGAATCTCGGCGGTCTCCCCGATGAGGAGCTGGAAGAGGGTCAATTCGGGTACTGGAAGCGTTCGGGGAAGATGATTGTTGTCGAGTCTTTGCTGAAAATATGGCACAGACAGGGTCAGCGAGTACTGCTCTTCTCTCAGTCCAGACAGGTGAGTGTGTAGACCTCAAGGATAAGTCCGTTCTTAGATCTTAGGACCTGTCATTCAGAAAGTAAGCTGTAACCTAGAGTGAGGCCCCCAGAGCAGGTGGCCGCCTGCAGAGCTCTCTGCAACGTTGGATTCCTCTCTGGAAGTGGTGTCCAGACCTGACTTAAAAACCTGGTGATTGGCTGGTGTCCAGGTGAGTTTAGGCCTGGGTTTTTGCTGCTTACACAGTAAGAATTAAGTCTAAGAAATACGAAAATACTCTCCTAGGAGAGCCACTTCTGCCCCTTAGGAGAAGCAGCTCTTTTGGCATGGGCGCATTGCGGAGGCGAGGCCAGGGCCCCCGTGGACCTGTCTTCTTTCCGCAGATGCTGCACATCCTGGAAGTGTTCCTGAGAGCCCGGGGGTACTCCTATCTCAAGATGGATGGGAGCACCACCATCGCCTCTCGGCAGCCGCTGATCACCAGATACAACCAGGTACCAGGGCTGGCAGTGAGGAGCTGGATACTGCACGGCCACCTGTGCTGCCGGCCTAGGCCGTGATGGTCGCTCTCCATGGGAGTGGCTCAGATGTCCTGGGGGGGTGGTGAGTGGCCCAAGGCTCACTGGGCTCCTCTCTGACACTCTGTCACCTCGCACGTCTCACCTGCAGGACACGTCCATCTTCGTGTTTCTCCTGACCACGCGTGTGGGCGGCCTAGGCGTTAACCTGACCGGGGCCAACAGGGTGATCATCTACGACCCTGACTGGAACCCGAGCACTGATACACAGGTCTGTCTGTGCCTTACAGCGGGGGTCTATGGGGGCAGGTTCCCACTGTAGTCACCCTCCTAAGTTCTTGCTGGCTCTGAGCACAGTCTGTTTTGGGCCAGCAGCAGTTTGTCCACCGCGCCGTCTTGTCAGCATAGGGCAGGGGACAGGGTGCCGAGCTGGGAACTTGCTCAGTTCTGTCCGGCTGTTTATCCATGCAGTTGGGGAGCCACAAGGTGGGGGTGCACGGCCTTGACTCATGTGCCAACCCTGACTTGGAGTGCTGCACGGCGATGCCCCAGCTGAACCCTCTCTCTGCCACAGGCCCGGGAGCGAGCGTGGAGGATCGGCCAGAAGCGGCAGGTGACTGTGTACCGGCTCCTGACGGCGGGCACCATCGAGGAGAAGATCTACCACCGGTCAGTGAGCACGTCTCTGCTGCGTGCACCCGCGGCCCGAGTGGGGACTGGGGAGAGTTGTGCAGTACCCTCCATGTTAGAGTAGTGTTTGCTGAACTTTAAGGGAGAGATCTTCGTTTTGTTTTGTATTTTTTTCTCTGCCATTAAAATACACTTAGAAATTGTTCAAGTTTTTAAAAACGCTTTCACTGTTGGACCCAAGTCTACTTTAGGGGCTACTGCTGTGCAAAGGCAGTGTCCACTGTTACCTGAGAGACTCCTTCCTCCCTCCTGTGCAAAAGCTGGGGAAGACGCACAGGTGAAGCCAGCATGGGCTCTGGTGCACGCGCAGTGCAGTGCTGCCTTGCGGAGCTGCCTGTGCCACGGCAGCGGGCGAGGCTGGGGCCCGCCCGGTGGGGACAGGTCGGAGTGCGGCTGAGTTTGCTGAGAGAGGGCCGGGGGTGAGGGCCACTCCTCGCAGCCCCGATGGCTCAGTGTGAAGGCCTTTCCTGAAGTGCGGCGAGCACTGCGGGCTCAGCGGCCTCGCTGGACAGAAGCAGCAGGCCGTGTCCCTGAGTGAGTCCTGTGACTCACCAGCTGCCTGCGCCCCGACTCGCTGGCCTGTGGCCTCTCGAGGCTGAGCTTGGGGAGTACCCAGCTCCTCGCTCAGCTGCAGCGGAGACTTCGCTCGAGGACTGTTGTCCCTGGGATGTGCAGGTGAGCCACTGCTCATGTCAGCTTGAGCTTTTTTCCTTTCAGGCAGATCTTCAAGCAGTTTCTGACCAACAGAGTGCTAAAAGATCCAAAGCAGAGGCGGTTTTTCAAGTCCAATGACCTTTACGAGCTGTTTACTCTGACAAGCCCCGACTCGACCCAGAGCACGGAAACAAGCGCTATTTTTGCAGGTAGCACACAGAGGCCTTTACCCAAGGGAATAAATCACACGGGGTTTGCACACTCAGACGTGGCTGCGCTTTCCCGTTCACAGGAACTGGCTCGGATGTTCCAACGCCCAGACGCCATCTGAAAAGGAGGACTCCGCCGGCCTTCGGGGCAGACCAGGATGCTCCGAAGTGCGGGAGGTTCCCAGATTCTGCCACACGTACAGGCGCAGCCACTCCGGCCAAGGCTAAACCCAAGGCAATCGGGGCTGAAGGAAGCACGGTAGCTTCCGGTGCAGGTGGCCTTGGTGACGCCCACCCAGGTGGCGGGGTGACTGCTGGTGATGGGGCTGGAGAGGAAACAGGTGCAGGGTCTGGACCAGAGGCACCGCTGGTGACCAGCGGACATGGGGGCAGCGCCGCATCCCTGAGGGTCAGCAGGGCGCCTGGGCCACCTGCTGAGGAGGACCCCACCACGGATCAGGCGCCTTCTGCTGCCGGACACAGCGGCCAGGTCCCAGCAGAGCCCCCTTGGGAGAACGGCCAGGCGGGGAGTCGGTCCTGGAAGCACAAGTCCAAGACGAAGCACCAGGCAGTGGCGGAAGAGGGGGCCCTGGAGCAGCAGCGGAAGCCCGGGAGCGCCAGGCACCGCAGGGACGCCAAGTTTGAGGGCACCCGAGTGCCGCACCTGGTGAAGCGGAGGCCGTACCATCGGGCCGACGCTGAGCCTGAGCCTGCGGCTGGGGCTCGCAGTGGTGACGACTACGTCCTGGAAAAGCTCTTCAAGAAGTCAGGTAATGTCCCAGGTGCCTGCGCCGCTGCCCGGCCAGGAGTGTTCTCCTGGATTCAGATCAAACGTCGTGAGGCCCCAGAGACCGACGTGACCCCCTTCTGTACCCAGAGTGGGGCTTTCTTCCAGGTATCTGTGCAGCAGGGCGCTGGTCGCTCACCTGCAGCCACTTGCAGGAGAAGTGCGAGGCTTTGCACAGACAGGGACGCCTGCCTCACCTGCTGCACCGTCTCGTTTTCCAGCCACGGGAGGGGACACCGTAGGAGTGTGGGGAGGGGCAGGTTTCCGGACGTCCGAGAGTGGTTGGGGTGGCAGCCAGGGAGGGCACTTGGGGAGGGTGGCAGGCACTGCTCAGACAGCAGCAGGGCTGTGCCCTCCATACCATCATCTCCAGGGCCCTTGGGCCTCTCTGGGGCCACGTGTCCCCCGGGGACAGCTGTCACCCCAAGGGTGCCTGGGCCACCCCCATCTGAGACGACGGGTGTGCGTGGCACTTCAGAAAGACTTGGACTTAGCCTGGTGTCTTTCTTTCTTTAACTTACCTTGGGGTCGTTTCAGACTTCAGCTGAAGTGGTGCGCTCAGCTCCGCTGCTGCCCGCTCCTGGGTTGATGTGTGCAGTGCTGCCTTGCCCTTCGGGAGCTCGGGGACCACGCCTGCGTCCTGGCAGGAAGCACGGGAGCCTAGTGTGCTCTGCCTCGTGTCTCGCAGGAGACGCGTGCTGCTTTGTTCTGTCACTGGCCGAGATCTGCCTGATTTCTCAGCTGTAATCCTTATTTTCCTTCGTAATTGATACTCCTGGAGGCCATGTGGGCGTACTGTTCTCTGTGTGTGCGTCGTTCAGTATCGTCAGAGAAAACCCTCCAAGTGGCTTTGTACCGGGCAGAAGTTCTTGGGTTTCTTGAGCTGAGGCCCAGCTCCCTTTCGCATGCATGTGGGTATCAGTGTGGATTGTCACCAGCCTCGTGCAGGTGTCTGTGCCCAGAGCCTGGCAGTAGAGTGTGTTACATTTGCCATTTGTGCCAGTTTGAGTAGTAGGAAATGTTAGCTCATCTTCGTGCTAATTTTGCCTTTATTTTACAGTAAATGAAATTGCATCACATGTATTGGGCCACTTGTACATTTCTTCTTTTTCCATGTGGATTGTCTGTTACATCCTTTGACTACTATCTAAGTTTTTGGTCTTTTCTCTCCTTGGTTTTTTAGGGTCCTTTATATAGATTATTAGCTCTGATATCCTAATTTATTTATTTTTCATTTATATTGTAAACATTTTCTCTCAGTTTGTCTTGTTTGATTTGCAGTAATTTTCCCCCCATGGAAAAGTGTTTAAAAATACCGATCTTCAGTCATAGTTAGCAAGCCTTTTCCACTCTGAGCTAACACAGGGATTCCCCGAGTTTTGCTCTCTGCTGCCTCGATGGCCTTTCTTTCTGCATTGAGATCTCCGGTCCATTTGGGTAGGAGTGCCCCCGCTTCACCAGCACTGTGTGCTTCAGTCCACTTTGCTCGCTGACTCCTGCCTGTCGGACAGTGCCGTCCCAGGTGTGGTGGCATCGCCTGCCGCTCTTCCCTGTCAGTCCCTGCCTAACTGTCCCTGCCCCCCAGACCTGCAGTCAGAGCCCGCGTTCTGTCCTGTGGGGCACAGCTTTGCTGCCTCGGGGTCTCCCTGGAGACTCACCCACTTCACTTGTCCACGCGAGCCTTGGTGTCCACCTATTGGCGTCCTGGACAGGGCTGCTGGTACCTGGAGGGCGTGTCCTAAGCGTGTGAGGTGACAGGGGAGCAGTACTTACCGAGTTGCCTGGTGCAGAACAAGTGAAGTCTTGCATCCGTTCAGGCCTAATAAAATACCCTCTCGAGAGTGTTTAACAGTTTCCTCCATGGAAGGTTTGCAAATCTCTTGGGTTTATTGCTATTTTATTTTATTGTTTTAAATTTTATTTTGAAAGTAGTAAAATACAACAGAACAAGACAGAATAAAGCCAACTAAGATCGTACAGTGAAATTGGTACAGAACTTCACAGCAGGTTACCGGGATAACAGAAATAGGTGTCACAGTATATTTTGTTATCTTTATAATAGTTGTTCTTTCAATCATGTATATCAAAATAAAATGAAATACAGAACATTATAGAACTTATCAAAACTGAATATTGAATAGAGCAGTACCGTAAATAATAGAGCAAAACAGTAATAAAAACATTTGCCTTCAAAGAGATGGTAGAAGGAAGTCCCCCTGATTGGCTATGGTCAGCCTCCCAGGAGATGCTCAGATTTCTGGTTCCCATTTACTAACGTGGCGGGGTGGGCAGGAGAAGCGGGGGTTGGGGAAGTGAGATGTTTGACTGCACCAGTAAGTTCACTGTTGCTTAGCAGGGAGGCAGGCTGGTTGCTTGGTTTCTCAGCTTTGTAAGTTCCAACATGGCGCAGATCTCAGGAGACACCGGTGGTCCCGCCCCTCCCCAAGGGCCGCAGTCTGCCACACTGCAGCCGCTTACCAGGGAGGGGAGCTGCTTGCTTGGTTTCCTGGCGTCCTAAGTTCCAACATCTTTATTGCTCTTTTAACTTACTTGTCATTGCATGGGGGGTTCCCCCACTATGTGACCCTAACCAACTGTTGAGTGTGAATGGGAAGGCAGTAGGTTTCTGCAGCTGAATTTTATGCATTGTCACCATTGGCTAAATTTTATCATTGATGGTTTAGAGTTTCTGTTATTTACAAACTTTGCAAAGGTTGGGTGACACATACCTGTAATCTCAGCTGTTTGGGAGGCTGAAGCAGGAGCCTTGCAAATTTGAGGCCAACCTGAGCAACCAAGCAAGACCTTGACTCAGACTTTAAGAAGGTGGGGTGGAAGGTGTTGGCCATGTGGACAGTGTTAGGGTGGGAGGTGTTGGCCATGTGGACAGTGTTAGGGTGGGAGGTGTTGGCCATGTGGACAGTGTTAGGGTGGGAGGTGTTGGCCATGTGGACAGTGTTAGGGTGGGAGGTGTTGGCCATGTGGACAGTGTTAGAGTGCTTGCCTCGCCTGAGCAAGGCCTCAGCTTTAGTCCAAAACGGTTTTTAAAAGCGAAAATTTGTTTTGCTTTCTAGTCATATCTTTAATTGATTTTTCTTTTCTTATTGCACTGCCTATTAAGCCCAATTAAATGTTAAATAGTGCTAGAGACAGTGGACGTCCTAACTTGCCCATTCCGAGTGGAAAAAACCTCTGATGTTTACTCATTAAGATTCTGATGTTAGGCCTAAGTTATGTACACATTAAAGAAGTTTCTGTCAGTTCTCAATTTTTGAGTGTTTTCATCAGGCCTAGATGGTCAAGTTTGTCAGCGGCATTAGAATGATCATGTTCAGGACTGAGGGGACAGCTTAGTTGTAGCACACTTGCCTAGAAATATCACCAATGGATGATGTTGAAACTAATACAATATTAGCTAATGAATTTCTCAATATTGAACCAACCTTGAATTCCTAGAAAACGCCTGCTTGTTTATACATAGTGCAGTGTTTCCTTTGCTGCTGGATCCCATTTGCTGATGTTAAAACTAATGTTTTCTCACTGATGCCCATAAACGATGGTGCTCTGTGGTTTTATTTGTATGTGTACCGTTGGTAACTCTCTGCTGTGTTCCTGGTCTGTTTTCTTAAAATCTTGTCTATCTTGTCTACTTTTCATGTATGCAAGATATTCTTAGAAAGTTTTTAATTTGTTTCAAGATAATTTTTCTTGTCATTTATAATTGTTTACATTTATTTTTACTTCTTTGATTAAGTGAAAATAGAAGACTACTTATTGTGTGATTTTTTTTTTTAACCAGTAAGCCAGGATTTTGATTTACTAACTAGATCTATGATCGTTCTCTTTATTTATTTTTTCTTTTATCTTTATTATTTTATTCCTGGTAATTTGTTCATGTTGAATTTTATTGGCTTATTTTACACATAACTTGTTCTTTTTATAACTTGCACTTAGAACTTTAACTTACTTTCTTTCATTGACACACATGTGCAGGGCTGTGAATTTTCCACCGTGACCACATTAATTTTATCCCAGTTATTCTCATATGGACTGTTTCCATGATCATTTTTTAGAGATTCTGTAATTCTGGTTTAGATCTTTCCCTTTGTTGAAGCATTAGTGGGAGACACTGCTTTTCTTCCTGGGGGTGGGGAAGAAGCTAAGTGTTAAGGTCGTGATTAACGCCTTCTCTGGGGTTACCCTAAAACTCGGGTCACTTCTGCATCCCTGGGGGACAGTGGTGTGATTGGACCCTCCTTCCCCAGGTCCCAGGTCGCAGCAGACCCTGCAGAGCGAGGAGCGGTTAACAGGGCTGGCCCATTCTGTGTCTGTACAGCACCAGCCGTTGGGGAGGGAGGCTGTGTAGCCTGCATTCTGCTCACCCTGTCCCCTCTCCTGCCAGTGGGCGTGCACAGCGTGGTGAGGCACGATGCCATCATGGACGGGGCCAGCCCAGACTACGTGCTGGTGGAGGCAGAAGCCAACCGTGTGGCGCAGGACGCCCTGAAAGCCCTGCGGCTGTCCCGTCAGCAGTGCCTGGGTGCTGCGTCTGGCATTCCCACCTGGACAGGCCGCCAGGGCTCCAGAGTGAGGTGAGCCCCCCTCCCCGCAGGCCTGCGGGCAGCCAGGGGGGAGGGCGCGCCCAGACAGCGGTGCAGATCCATCCAGTACAGGGCGACTTGGGCATGCTGCTGTCACCTGTCTCCCCCACTTCATCCCAGCTTCCCCAAGCCAGGAAAGTGACTCAGCCTGGGGTTCAGTTTGGGCAGCCTGCTTGAAGTGGCATCGAGGCTGCTCAGCAGCCCTTTGGACCGCTCCCCTGTGTGCAGAGCGAGTGTCAGGGGTGCTGCTTCCCGGTGGAGCAGGCGCAGGAGCTGGGGTGCGGGGAGCAGCCTCTGGGACGCATTCCCCGGAAGAGTTCAGTCTTGACTGAGTGCTTTGGTCACAAAAGCTGACCTTCCTCTCTGTGCTGCTTTTCTCATGCAGGGGTAGATTTGGGCAGAAGAGGAACTCCAGCCTCTCCGGGCAGCGCCCTCCATCGTCTTCAGCAGAGAAATGCCAGGTAACGGGAGCCCACATTCCACGTGCCAGCCGAGCTCGGTCCTGTTCCCTCCCACCGAGTGCCTCAGGGTGGCTTCCTTGTGTGCTGACCCCTGACGTTCGTGTCGTGGGCTCTGATTTATGACGTGCTTCCCCGGGACTCCAGAAGGGCTTCTGACTTCCTGAAACTCGGGGCCACGTTAGCATCTTTGCCCTGTGCCTGGAAAGCTAGTAAGGGGACAGGCCTGCCACCCAGGAGTGCATCCTGCCTGTTTCGGGGTCCATTCCAAAGATGCCCACCCACTGGAGTGAAGGTCGGCAGCCCCTGTCCCCCAGCAGCACCCACAGGCCCCAGTGCTTCACTGCTTTCCTAGTGAAGGTGGTCTTAATGTAAAACTTGGGGACTCCTAGTTTCCCATGACTGCGAACGTGCTCAGGAGTAGAACCTTTCAGACTCCGCTGCCCTGTGCGGTCTTTAGCAGGAGGCCTGGAGCCTTCCTGGGCGGGATCAGTGCTGTGGCTGGAAGGAAACACGGGGTGTAAAGCAGGAGGAGGAGGACAATGATGGCAGGAGAGGAAAGGCGGTTGGTGCTGCCACCTTTCGCTCCCCACCGCGTGCCGCCTGTGCCCCCTCCGCGCGCACACAGTGCACGCCTGCAGGTGGCCCACAGCCCTCCTTTCTGATCCTTTACTTTGTCAAGAGACACTAACAGCGGGTGGACTCAGGTGTGGGGCTCTCCTCCTTTCCCTTGGGCCATGACGAAGTCTCAGTCTGAGTCAGCCCCCAGAGCCCGGGTTAATTTGGGGCCCCTCACTGGCCCTGGGGAAGGGGTTCATAGTCTGCAAACCCAGTGGGTCAGCGCAGCGCCTTCTCTCTGCAGGATGGTGTGGAGCACTTCAGCGGGAGAGTGCAGGACCCGGACTCCTCCCCTGCCGCCCTGGCGTCCTCCTCCCTCCTGGCCAGGATGCGGGCGAGAAACCACCTGACCCTGCCCGAGCGCCCGGAGAGCAGGGCCACAGCGGAGGCGCCCACGCCGCCACCCTGCGCCACTGAGCACGATGAGCTGCTGGTGGAGATGCGGAACTTCATCGCCTTCCAGGCCCGCGTGGACGGCCAGGCCAGCACTCGCGAGATCCTGCAGGAGTTCGAGTCCCGGCTGTCCACCTCGCAGTCCTGCGTCTTCCGGGAGCTGCTGCGGAACTTGTGCAGCTTCCACAGGACGCCGAGCGGGGAGGGGGTGTGGAGACTCAAGCCGGAGTACTGCTGAGCAGCCCCCAGCGCTCCCCAGCTCCTCCGCCAACAGCATCTACCTCGCCAGCCCTTCCTCGGGCAGGGAAGCCCTCATCACGCGGCTGAAGGCGTCCTGGCCTGGGAAGGGACTAGAACAATGTTAGGAGATCAGGGACCCAGCAGCTGCTCGTCAGCGCCTTGTGCTCCCCGAGACGCGTACAGGGCTGCTGTCTGCGTGTTAGTGGTGCTAGAAACCTGCTCCCGCGCCCTCGACCTGGGCCTCACATTCATCCATCAGTATTTTGATACCTAACTTTGAAATGCATACATTTACCGTTTGCCACCCAAAAAAGATCAGGTTTGCTGTCTTACAAAACAGTTTCCTTAACAAGCAGTCTCCTTGTGGGGTGCCGTTCCATCAGCAGGTTTTTAAGTTTTCAGGCTTGGTGCTGAGGGTCGAGCTCAAGCCTCACCGCTGAGTGCAGGCTCTGCCCAGGGCTGCGCCCCCTGCGGGTGTTGCCCTAAACAGAGCAGACCTGACTTGTTCATAAATACCAGGATGTCTGTCGGCAAAGCCACGTGGTCAGTTTGTCCTGGTGCTTCTTTAAGCAATGAGTTCTTATCTCCCTCCAGCAGTAACTGTAGGCTTGGGGAAAGCTGAAATGTGTGAAGTTTTAGAAATAAATGAACATCCAAGCAGAACTGCTATAAATGCACCGAGTGGCGCACACCTGCCGGGGCCTGCCCTGCAGACCCCATGGGTCAGACGTCCCAGCCCCGAGGTGGAACCGGGGCCTTCGGAGCGAGCACCGCATCACCAGGCTTCCCTGGCCGCAGGCCTTGCTCCCTGAACCTGATGCTGCCCGAGCAGCTTGCTGCTCGCCTGGGTCTGTCGCGCCTGGGTTTGTGGGTCCGGGGCGGTGCAGCCTTGCTCTGGCCCTCCCTCCGCCTTGCTCCTTCCGGTTCCGGTGGGGAGGAAGCCAGACTGCTTTCTTCACTTTGCCATAGAGGAGTGCTCAGGCCAGTGCTGACCTTCAGTGCCGGGCTCCGGGGGCAGCACTCAGGCTGGTTTGCTTCCGGGCAGCGCCCACTTATTTTTAGGTTTATGACCTTAGCCTCTAGAAATCTCTGTCACTTTGTTCTCAGGACTTCCCAGCCACAGGGGCAGAAGTTTCAATCATACTGAGCTGCAGAAGGTGTAGCCTTGTCTCTAACTAAAGAAAAGTCCCTGTCCCAAGCTGCAGTGCAGCGGGCTCGAGGCGGTGTCCCCCAGCTGCGCCCACCCCGGGCTTCAGGGGGTCACACTGGACTGGACGCTTAGCCCCGTCCTCCCAGTGGACGCACAGGGACAGCAGGCTCTCTGCAAGTGGCTTTGACAAGGCAGAGTAACTTCCTTAGATAAGGTCTAAGTTCTAGAACACTTAATCCTCTTGCAGTGTAAATATATTTAATGTGTAAATATCAGAAGGAATAAAAGATTTAAAGTTTTCGTCAGATATTTTTAATTCCTTACTCACTCTAGGAACGTGCGGGGGTGACGGGAATATACAGCAACTGCAGCCGTCTTGCCCGTGGTGCCGCACAGCAGACTGAAGTGTGTGCCCAGGTGATGGACGCCAGTGTTTATACCCGCCCGCCTCACTGTGCCTGATGGAATATACAGCAACTGCAGCCGTCTTGCCCGTGGTGCCGCACAGCAGACTGAAGTGTGTGCCCAGGTGATGGACGCCAGTGTTTATACCCGCCCGCCTCACTGTGCCTGATGTCACCTGCAGGGCTCTTCCCTTCCTCTAAGAAGGCTCTGGGTTCCAGGTGACTCGGTTTTAAAGTCGTAGTCGGTGTAGCTAAGTTGTCTCCTGCAGTTCACGGCTCGTCCCAGGACCCATCTCTCCAGTCTTTGCGTGTGGTTGTTGGAACCAGTCTTGTGGTTGAAAAGAACCTAGCCTCGCCAGCGCCAGCCGTTCTGTGTCCAGGCTCTGCATAGGTCTCCAGTGCGACTCACCCCTCCCGGGCACTTCTGCCGCATTTGCTCTGGGTGACCGCTTTGTCGGGGTTGTTCCTGCAGACACAGATGAGCAGGGAATTGTCCTGACGATAGCCTGTAGGCCGCTCCCTTCCTCCGGGTTTCTGCCCTGCACGGGCTGTGTCCCGTGTGTGCCCATCTGCCCGCAGCCCTGCCCCGTGGCCCCCTTGACTTTGCCCTGTGTGGCCTCCTGTGCCCACGCCCCTCTCCCTTTATCCCTGTCGGTCTCCCGTGCACTTTCTGTTGTACACTGAGCATGGAATTAGCTTATTAAGTTCCACAATTGCGCTGATCTTTTGACTGAGACTGTGCTCATTTATCTATTAATTGAGGTTAATAGAATCTCCATAATTAATGTAATTTCCCCCATTAGGATCGTGGCAGGCCTCATTTTACGTAAGTCCTTTTTATTCCTGGATACAATTTTAGTAACTTCATAAAGGTCTTACACATTTCGTATTGGGCTTATCCTATGCATTTTATGGATTTTTAGTTTTGGTTGGGGATCTTTTTCCTTTCCCATCGAAAATGGGGTAATTAGGGCATCCCTCTGTCTACTCAGGCTGCTTCTCCCTCAGAACTTTCCACACGTGGAGTTGGTAAGTTTAGTCTTTCTGTGTTTTGCTTCCTTATTTGACAAGCTCTTCCCTCCTTGGCCATGAGCACATTCTCCTAACTTCTCTTGTCAGTTATACGCAGGTGAGTCATTTACCTAGCACCTTCTACAAAGAAAGCAGTCCGTCCTTTCCTCCTGATTGGTGAGGGTCCTGCTCCATGTCCTATTTCCATGTAGTGAAGCGAATGTTGCTGGGCTGTGTCATGTTCAGTTGGTTTGTTTTTACCAAACTTTGCCAGTGAGCCACTGTTTAAATCATTGTGGCTTAGTAATTGGTTCCAGGCTCCAGGATAATGCTCAGAATTTAAATCTCCTGGCCTGAATATCAGTAACCTTTTACACCCAGAACCTTCCAGAAGGTTCCAGGCTCCAAGCTAACACTCACAATTTAAATCTGAATGTCAGTAACCTTTCCCCCTCAGAACCTTCCAGAAGGTTCCAGGCTAACATGCAGAATTTAAATCTCCTGGCCTGAATGTCAGTAACCTCCCCCCCCCAGAACCTTCCAGAAGGTTCTTACACATGGACTACCTCATGTATGCAATTTCATGAGCATGAGCTCTGGATGGGCACGAATGCTTTGGTACCCCTGAGATGTCACAGCACCTTGTCAATCATTCCTGTCAATCTGCGGAAACCCAATGAGAAGAGCCTTAGGGGGCGGGCACAGCTTTTAAAATCGCAGAGCCTGACTTACCTGGTTTATCTGTTTATCCCATCTCCTCGTCACCCAGACACCACTTTTCTGTTTGTGCCACCTCGTTTCTGTTGGCGTGGCTCTGCCCTGAGCACACCGTCCCAGTGTTGCATGTAGCAACTTTTTCTTTTATCAATTCTTTATACAATTGCAATCCTTTGTTCTCCATATCCAAGAACGGGGAGTGGCAGGCTGCCCAAGTTTCTTTTGTTTCAAGTGCATAGGTAACTTCATGAAGTCATAAAGTATTACCAAGCAATGCCCTAGAGATGCTCAGTGGGTTGAGCTGGCAGCAGAAATAAATACTCCACTGACTTGCAGAGATTGAGATTATCCTGCTCTCCAAACAAGAGAGAAAGAATGAAGGAAAGTGGGCAGAGCCTTAAGAGAAAGGCTTAAGGAGACACCACGAAGACACTATTAAATATCTGTAGTGGCCAAGTGTGATGGCATATGCCTGGGAGGCTGAGGCAGGAGGATGGCAGGCTTGAGGACACCTTTGTGGACACTGCCTAGGAATGTTCCTGTTTCAGCTGCCAGGATGAGCAGCTAGGCAGAGCCCTACTTTACCAGGACCTGACCCTCAACTGGTCAGGTCAGAGTATGGGGGTACACTTGCTTGCTGTTTACGAGGCAGGACTTCCTCTGGATAAGCCAGCGCTTCCCTTTGCCACTGTTCCTTGTGATGTTAAAACTCCACATATTTTTCTCCCCTTGTATTTCCTGGGGAATTTTTGTTGATAATGAAGCAATTTAAATTTCCCAGTTTCAAATGGCTGTAAAAGAGTGCTCAAGTGTAATACTGGCAGAGAACCAGAGTAATAAATTGACTATCTAGAAGTAACCCTCGCATCTGGTCTGCTGGTTCTCAGCAAACGTGCCAAGTCCGTGCAAGGGGAAAGAAATCTCTTCACCCAGTGGTGCTGGGGAACTGGTGCTGGGAGAAGGAATGAATTTGGACCCTTGCCGGGCGTCACCAGGAAGATTAACTCAAAATGGATCGGACCTAAGTGCGTATGTGGGAACAAAACTAGGCAGCTCTTAGGCATGGAGCTAAATTGTCATGACCTCGAATCTGGCAAAGCATTCTTGAATAGGTCTCCTAAAGCTCAAATAACAAAAGAAAAATTGATAAAATATACTTCATCAAAACATGAAGCGTCTGTACCTTGAAGGGTTCCAACAAGAAAGTGAAAACACAATGCACAGAATTTGGAAAAACATGTGCAAATCATGTATCTGATAAGACACTTAAAACAGATTTTTTTTTGAGTACTGGGGATTGAACATAGGCTCTTTACATTAAACTGTATCCACAGCCCTCTCAATTTTTAATTTTGAGACGGGGTTGCTAAGTGCCAAGACTGAGTTCAAGTTTGTGATCCTGCTGCCTCAGGCTCCCAGAGTGCCAGGATGGCATGTGCCATCACTAAAACTCTTCCAGCTCAGTCCTGTTTTTAAAATGCATGAAGGATTGGGATAGACATTTCTACCAAATGGCTAATAAGTAAAAATGGTCAGTGAGCACACAGAAAGATGCTTGTCTTCGTTAGTCATCAAGGAAACAAAGTCACGGTGAAATGCCATTTTTTATCCATTTGGCTAAAGTAAGTCAGACAGTAGCAAGTGTTGGCAAAGATAAAAATTGGACTCCAAACATACTGTGGGGATGTGAGACTGCAGCCATCTTGGAAAGGAGGCAATCTCTCGATTGCTAGATGACTTTGGAATTTCATTACTACGAATAGAACCGAATGAAATGAGATGCATTCACAGAAAAACTTGCACCTGAATGTCTGTAGCAGTAATCTTCATAGCAGCCAAATAGTGGAAAGAGTTCAGCTGTCCATCAACAAGTGAACAGATAAAAAATGTAGCTACACGATGGAGTATTATTCAGCTCCAAAAAGGAATGGACAGACACAGGATGCAGTGTTAATGAAACTTGAAAAATTTGTAAGTGAAAAAATCAGTCATGAAGGGCCCCATACAACATAATTCTCTTCCTATGAAAATTCAGAATAAATTTATACACACAGTAAATAGTCATTGCTTAGGGAGGGGAGTAAGAGATTTTTCACTGTAGCTAAAAGTTGAAATTTAAGTTGATTGGGAATGCTTGTAAAGTGATGTAGGAATGTCTATTTTTGAATACACCAAAACCTAGTGAATTTTACTCTTTAAACAGCTATTTGATATGTGAATTTATACCTGAATATATTTCTTAATAAATAGCATAAGGTACAAGAGAAACTTTGGAGTTCAACAATGAAAGAGAACCCAATTTTGGTAGCTAGCTAAGTCTGGATATAGCAGTGCACACCTTAATCCCAGCACTTGGAAGATCTGGAACAGAAGGGCCAATGCAAGCCCAACCTGGCCAACTTAGCGACTGAGCAAGACCTTGTGTCCAGTAAAATATAAAAGAGGATCTGAGGATTTAGTTCAATGTGAAGGCTCTGGGTTCGATCCCCAGCATCCACGCTCAAGGTAAGAGTCTGAATAACTTCCCAGAGAAGACGCAGGACAGGCACCAGACACAGGAAAAGATGCTTGACATCGTCAGTCACTAGACAAACAGAAAACACAAAGAGATGTTTCACATGCTCTAGAACGGCTGTAATTTCAAAAGTCAAAATGAACTAGTGGTAGAGATGTGGAGCCCTTCGACACTGCTGGTGAGTTTGTTTCTCTTTTGTTCTGTGGCACCAGGGATTGAATCCAGGCTCTCACACTGAGCTCTATCTTTACCCCTTTTTATTTTTTAAGACAGCATCTCTGATTCACACAGCAGCCCAAGCTGGCCTTGAGCTTGTAATCCTCCTGTCACGGGCTCTGAAGTAGCTGGGATTGCGGGTGTGTGCCCCATGCCCAGCTTGGTGAGACTGGAGAATGGGGGTGGCCACCTTGAGACACTTCTACCATTCTTCTCGTTAAACACAGAGTTGCCATGTGGCCCAGAAGTACCACTGTTTGGTGGGATGGTCCCACAAGAACTGAAAGTTGCTATTCAAACACTTACATGAATATTCGCACTGGCACTAATCTCTGAGGCCGAAAGGTGGGAACAGCTGCAGTCCATGGACAAAGGAGTGGATAAATGATATGTGTCCCATTCATGCCCTGGTGTGTTCTGACCATAAAGAAAAATGAAGCTC